CATGATAACGGACGTGTTACTACCGGGTAATCAATAATAGAATAGAATAGAATAACTTTAATTGACTCCTGTAATATATAATGATCAATCTGTGCCCCGGCGTATAATGGGCCACTTGTTTCTTTCCCGTGGGTTTCCTATTTCCTAAGAGGCGACTAAGGGAGGGCGAAGTGTGGACTGCAGCGTCCCTCTTAAAACTTATGGCTTATGAAGGCTTATGTCCAGCAGTGGACAGTTAAGTATAAAAATAATATTTACTTTTAAAAATAGATTTCCTTTATATTATTTTTCTCAAACATGCTTAGAAATGTGAGCATTATTTTGACAATCTTCTTCGAGATAATTCGAAACTGCCGTACTGGTCAGATACATGCGGGCAGCGGCCGGCAAAAGTTGTATGAAAATCCATATATGTTGTGTTTTGCGGCCAGATAAATTACTTATGAGTTTACATAGAGTTCAAACTACAGTTTAAAAATGGAATGACCTTTTACTTAGAAACATGGCTACCAAGGAGGTAACTAATAAAAGGTTTTATTTAAATTTCGAACTGGCTTGCAAATAGAAAGCTGTTTATTGAAAAAAAAAATACAAAGGAACATTATGGCGCGTGAAAAATTATTATTGTTCGTTATTCGTCATTGAACTTAAAAAGTAAAACTGTGTTTTTGATTTCCGCGCATTGTTTGAGAAAAGCACTATACAAGCTTTGACCATAACTAGGCACGTTCGTCCATCAATGCTTCAGTTGCTGGCCGCTGCAGTAATGTACTATTTCAGTCAATTAATATTTTGTTATTATAGGACGTAAATTGTTTTTAATATTACCATTATTGTACTAGAAGAAATATTTCTTTATTATATATTTTCAATTTTATTGCTCTATACGACGATCCCTTCACAGTGAGTATAAAAAAATAAGATGTAATTATGACTAATAAATGCAACATTGTATTACACGTGTCAAGGCCAGGGATGCGCACTGCATATTGAGGTGACGTATCAACATACGCACTACAATTATATATATATATATATATATATATATATATATATATATATAGTCTTCTCACTGAATTTAATTCTGGGCATAGTACATTTAAAACAAATACACAGAATGGCAAGCAAGCTGACGGCCCACCTGATGGAAAGTGGTAACCGTCGCCTATAGACACGAGCAGTACCATGGACATAACAGAGTATACTGTTTCGCCCATGATACCCCGCATGCGATGCCATTCCTCAGGACTCAGGTGTTATTCCTCTGTACCCAGTAAATTCACGCAATATCCCACCCTTCAAACCGAAACACAGCCATGCAAACACAACTGCTTTACGGTTGAAAAACGAATGCGACAGAGGTACCCAAGTAATCGACTTTTGTACAAAGTCTCCCTCTGGTAAATAATGTTAACAAAGATTTAAAAGAGTAACTGTTGAATTTCTTGTGAGTTCTTCTCAGCAGATAACAACATTTCGAATCTTGCAGTAGATTCATAAAAGTTGACGATTTGAAAGTGCTTGTAAACAAGTATATTTGAATAAAGATTATTTAAATTTTAATTAAAATATATTTTTACGTTTATCATTAAATTAGTTTTAAATACTGATATAAATCAAACAGTCTTCTAATGGAATGGTAACCCTGCCCCTCTGTGCTGTTGGTATACGCTAACGGGGCACCAGTGTTTGATGATAGGTGAGGAGGAAGCAGGCCAGTTGATACATCATGACGAATTCATAAAGAATTCACCACGATGGTTTCCAGGGGGAACCGCGTGGAGGTCGACCTGTATAGAGTACATTGCTAGCAATGGGGTTGCTTATCCCCATTATTAACAGTCAGTCAATAGTGAAACCGCCACGAACTAACAATCACCTCTCAAAACCACACAAAGTCGGCTAGCGGCAGGGCACGATAAAATCGAATTAGAATCGAATTACCGATGCGAGGTAATTCTTATTTTATAACAGGACAAGGCCGAAAGACGGCAATAGTGTAATGCCCACGGGAAATCGTGAATTAGATACCCATTACCCCAACGAATTACTCTACGATGACGTCCAACTATTTAATCATATTATAAGGAAAAATGCGTCATTTCTTAAATAACTTTTAAATTTAAGTAATTACTAATTATTGTTTAGAGACTGAACTAGTGGTGAGCGAACGCAAACATTTATTAATTCGATTCGAAAAAAATGGAAAAGTGGACATAAATACATACATACATTCCGGTCTCTTGTAAATCATAAGTTTGACAGTCTATCTGAAAAAAAAAAACTGAATTTTTTTTTATTAATATTATTTTGCCCGTTAACTGTCCACTGCTGGACATATTATTTTTTTCATTTAAATCGAATTAGTAATTAGTAAAATTATTCGAATACAATCATTAGTATTTTTTTTATACCACTGAGGTGGTAAACATACATTACGTATGTTACTTTCTGATGGTAAGCGGTTACCGTAGCCTATGAACGCCTGCAATACCAGAGGTATTACGCGCGCGTTGCCGACCCTGAAGAAACCTCTTTGCCCCTTTTCTGTAGTCTCTTGGTGAAGCCTCAACATTATATTTGCTTTCTTCTACTTTCTTTGTTTGATCTTTCTAAATCTTAAAATAATGTAAGAAATATCTTTACTTCTTTATAGAAGAACTACATTCTGTAGTCTCTTGGAGAAACTTTAGCGTTCTATATGCTTTCTTTTACTTTATTTGTTTGATCTTTCTAAATCTTAAAGTAACATAAGAAATCTCTTTAGTTCTTTTTGGAAGAACTTCATACTGTAGTCTTTTAGAAAAACCTCAACATTCTATTTGCTTTCTTCTAATTTCTTTGTTTGATCTTTCTAAATATTAAAATAACATAAGAAATCTCTTTACTTCTTTTTGGAAGAACTCCATACTGTAGTCTCTTGGAGGAACTTTAGCGTTCTATATGCTTTCTTCTACTTTCTTTGTTCGATCTTTCTAAATTTTAAATAAATGCTTTACAAATGTATTGACAATAGATAGACTTTAATATATTTGTTAATAAACCACTAGAAATGTACAAGGGCTCGTTCACGTTGTTTATCAGTTGTAAGGTCGTGAACTGTTTGCAGTATTAGATAATGCATATACCTATTATTATATGAGGTCCTTGCATGGTTGGGTTTCGGTGTGAAGAGTGGGCTCATCATCATCATCTCAGCCACTATCAGTCTAATGCTAAACATAGCCCTCCCCCATAGACTGCCATAAAGAACGGTCCTGAGTCATCTGCTACTACTGCTACCAGAGGGAGACTTTGTACAAAACTCGTTTGCTCGGGTACCTCTGTCCTATTCGTGTTTCAACCGTAAAACAGTTGTGTTTGCATGGCTGTGTTTCGGTTTGAAGAGTGAGATATGGCGTGAATTTATAGGGCACAGAGGAACAACATCTGAGTCCTCAAGAATGGCAACGCATGGGAGGTATATGTGAGGTAAAAATACATACAAATTAAAATTTTCACACTTTTACGATCAACCCCTGTTTCTTAATCGCGATTTTTATATGCCCCAATAAGGTTGCAAGATGGCAATCGAATATAATAATTGTAGTAGGATCAATTTTCATGTATAGTTCTCGAAATAATGTATACGGTAAAACAACGTTTGCCGAGTCAGCTAGTAGTATAAAAGAAAAGAATAAATCATAATGCTTTATAAGGCTTTGTTAATGTTTGTTATTTAGAATATACAATTACTTGTCCTTGAGTGACCCTAGGTGCGGTTTGCTTCTGAAGGTTTTCCAGCCATCTAACTGTAACAATCACTTAATCTGTAGATATCGCATATTGATTTTCCAAGTGTAATAAAAATATGAAACACATAAGCAGATAAGCAATAGTTTATCTCCCGTAACTACCTATTTGGGCTTAAGCATTGTGATAGATATTGTTTTATACACAACATGTGTCTACGAATTTTTTTTATACAACTTAAAATGACAAACAAGCTGACGGCCCACCTGATGGAAAGTGGTAACCGTCGCCTGTAAACATGAGCAGCACTATGGACATAAAAGAGTATACTGTATCGCCCATGATACTCCCCATGACTGAGGACTCAAGTGTTATTCCTCTGTACCCTATAAATTCACGCCATATACCACCCTTCAAACCGAAACACAGCCATGCAAACACAACTGCTTCACGGTAGAAACACGAATGGGACAGAGGTAACCGAGCAATCGACTTTTGTACAAAGTTTCCCTCTGGTTTTTTGGATAGAACCTACCTATTATCATTTTATTTTTCTTATATTACCCGTCTGTCTGTCGTTGTTTTATATTTCAGCAATTACTAATATTTTTTTGAGTACAGTTTTTGGTATAACAATATAGTTCATATACATTGCAACAGAAATAATTTGGAATTTTTTTTTTTGGAAAGAGGTACTCGAAAATAAAAAATTAGCTTACTAATCTAAGTGGGGTATCATATGAAACCATTTCGTTTATACATTTTAAATTCTATTTTATTTACTTTTAATTAGGTAAGTAAATAAACAATCTTTTAATAGAAAATGTACTAAAATTTGCTATATTTTTATTTCAAGAGAACAATGATCTATTTATAGATGCTTTACGTACGAAACCCTTGGCGAGTGAGTTAAACTCATACTTGACCGGGTTTTTCTCAGTGTCCTCTACCCAAAGGTTATCTGGAAGAGATTGCGGAGCGATAAGACTGTCTTTTGTTTCATTTCATCCAATTATTTACTGTATTCCTTGTAGCTGATAAAATAAAGTATAAATTGTAACAAATGTCAAACTTATGTTCTTAGAGTACGCAGCCCTTACTATAATTGTTTACAATTTCCTTAGGATTGCTATCTTAAGGAAATATCATGAAATATCATGTTCAATTTATGTAATTTATATAAGTTAAAGTATGTTCCGTCCCATTCACACGTGCAAAGCCGCGGTCAAAAGCTTGTTTATAATAAATTGATTTATACTTTGTTCCAGAGCCCCACGCAGCGTAGCGACCGCGATGCGCGGGCGCTCGCCGCGATGGCGGTGGCTGGTGGCGGGCGGCGGCGCGCTGCTAGCGATGGCCGGAGTCGGCGCTGCGCTCGCCTGGTCTCTCATATTCGATTCTGTGTTAGCATCGGTTAGTAATGCCATCTTTTGAAGTTCACCATCATCTTGACTCGTATCTTGATCATCTGTGATGTGCCCCAGATGGTCATTGCCTGGTTTCTCATATATGTATATAGAAAGGAAGAAATAAAAAGACAAGAATACAAATAGAAAGCAATTAAATTTAGTTAAATTAAAGTCTAAATTAAAAAAAAAAAAAACAAACAAATAAACGGTAGGATAACTCTTGAATCCAACATCGATTCCAATCTATTGCCAATGACAAGTGTATACTGCATTCATATAGGGTACATAGGTATCCTAACTAAAAGCGCAGGCATCTGGTGTGATTGTATAAAATTTACATTTACGAGTATATTTATAAAATCCCTGTCTTAGATTATATATCTCAATCAGTAATATTTTCGAACAGTTAGTAATGCCATCTTTTGAACGGCACGATCATCTTGACGGCACTTATGTCAGCCTTTAACTGTCCACTGCTGAACATAAGCCTCCTTTTTGGGAGGTTTTGCCAGTAGTTGCTACGCTTGGCAGGCAGTTTGGCAACTGCAATTAGGCTTTAGATATGTTTTAAGAGGGACGCTGCTGCCCATCCCTCTACTATAAAGTTCCCTTAGTCGCTTTTTACGACAGGAAGGGGTGGCTTATTCTATGTCGGAACCACACAGAGTTGCTTACACTGTGGTAAAAAAGAGGACAAAATATATACCATCAGCTATATTGCTATTTTTCTCAATTCATAGCAGGCTAGCTAAGAACATTTGCAGGCTAGTGTTATAGATCTAAGAACAAGAAATTAGATTGTTCTTAGGGCATAGCTTGGTGAATTTAAATGCTACGGACTATTGAAAAGATGCGTTTTTATATATCTATCCCTTTTTAACGCATTGGCAATGTCATAAATACTACGAGCAACACACTATGTGAGTTATGCCTAGTATAGTATTATATTATCTGTGGTTATGCATTCTATCTATTCTATTGCGAAATCTTTGCAGAAAAGCGCGCCACTTTTCAGTGTTGCATGTAATTCAATGAATAATTCCCCAATTTCGGTAGATTTTCAAAAATTTAAATAGAAACTTTTTTTTTATATAAATTATGTAAATTAATGTATATTAGTTAATATAAATTGTAGTAATTTTCATTAATTTCGACAATAAATACATATTTCAAGTAATCGCTCAAGAAAAAAATGAGTATCATAAGAAATTTGAATTGTTTTTATTTTTCAAATGAATCTCACAATTTACTTGAAGAATCTTAATAGACAAAATGGTACATTGATTTAAGGAAAGGTAAGTACTTAATTAAATTAGTGGAATTGACTAGTGAAGCCATATGGTAACATAGCTCGTTGTCTAAATGGAGGTTGGCCGATGGATTGGAGGATTAGGTATTATATACAAATTAAACTAAAATCAATATAGTCACGTCGGGGGGAAAGAGATTGTTAGTAATGGAGACTGAGAATCCCATTGCTAGCAATATACCCAACCAGGTCGACCTCGCGGTTCTCCCTGGAAACTATCATGGTTCGTTCCTGATGAATTCATCATGATGGGCTAACTGGCCTGTTTTCATTCTCATCTATCACCCTTCACTGGTGCTCCGCTAGCGTATTCCGTTAGCGCAAGTGGGGTTAACTTACCATTTTCACCCATTAAAAAAAATATAATATAGAATCACGTCACATAAAAATAGTAAATAAGAAACATAGGCATAGGCAAGTAAAATATAAGTATATATATATATATATATATATATATATATATATATATATATATATATATATATATATATATATATATATATATATATATATAATATATGCACATATAGTAGTAAATAATAAATTAGAATAAGGAAATAAGCAAAATAATGAAATATGTACATAAGAATAATATAAGTACATGTAAGCAAGTAAATGTTTTCCCAAAATTAAGCTCCTTAAATAAAAATCCCTAGTGTACAGTCCAATGTTCCTCTTAAGCCCCCTAGTTGTAAGTATGTGTATAAAAAGCGTATATAAATAATTAGCGATCCGCTCCAACTTCGTACGGTTGCAATGCCGCACCGCTATGTCCCTGCATTTTAAATCTGTAATATCTTTGGAAATAATCATTTAAATTACATGCTGTAAAGGGTCATATTGATTTATATTAAATGGATAATGTAATTAAGGTACTTAATTAGATAAAAATTAATGCTGTATTGCTTGAAATCACTTCCTAAATAAGCCATTTTTTCCAATAAAATGTAAAGGATATAAAATGGTTATTGTGGGTTATCCTTAAGAGAAAAGCATACGAAGATTTGAGCATACATAGGGACGGACAGAGAGCGACAGCGACTTTGTTTTATACTATGTAGTTGAAGTAACCGGTAACAAATCTGGAATTTGACATCCGAGTAATAGCAAAATTATAAAAAAAGACATAGAAACGTCAAGAATAGACTGTCTAGTGTGAGCTAAATTTACGCTACGACCGCATTCATGTTCACTTGATAAGCACAGACGTAGTATCGTCGCATATTTCTTGTAAAATAAAGTTTCTTTCTTTCTTTCTTCTTTCTAGTATAACGCACCGCACAGACTGGCAACGCGATCATAAAAACGAGACAAGAAAATGTTTTTTTTTTTATGGGTGAAAATGATATGGTAACCCCGCCTGCGCCAACGGGATACGCTGGCTGAGCACCAGTGAAGGGTGATAGATGAGAATGAAAACAGGCCAGTTAGCCCATCATGATGAATTCATCAGGAATTATTCATGATAGTTTTCAGGGGACAAGAAAATGGTTACACTAGTGTGTGTGTTTTGTAAATGTGTGCACGAGACTGATCTGAATTTATTGAATATCTGAATATGGAATTGAAATTGCAAAGATACATTTTTTTTACGCAACTTAAAATGGCAAACAAGCTGACGGCCCACCTGATGGAAAGTGGTTACCGTCGCCTATAGACATGAGCAGTACCATGGGCATAACAGAGTATACTGTTTCACTCATGATACTCCTCCATATTCGATACTGTATCTGTATTGACACAGGGTTAAATGTATACAGTAACGGCGAACGGTTAATAGTCATTGAACCAAAGATTACTTAATAGTTACTGAATATTTACACACTTTACTGATATATGGGTGATATAATTCGTTCGAATTTAAGTGTTTCATTAAATATGTATGTTTTTTACACGCATATGTAAGTATGAAGTGATGTTTGGCGTGAATTTACAAGGTACAGAGGAATAACACCTGAGTCCTCAGGAATAATAACGCATGGGGGGTATCATGGGCGAAACAGTTGTTATGTCCATGGTACTGCTCATGTCTATAGGCGACGATTACCACTTTCCATCAAGTAGGCCGTCAGCTTGTTTGCCATTCTAAGTTGTATAAAAAAAAAATTCTATGAAGCGATGATAGGCGAGGATGCACTCAGATGAGTTGGGTCATTATGACGAAGTCAACAGGAATGAATCGCGATGGCTTCCATAAGATCCGCGTGGAGGTCGACCTATTCCCTTTTCTTCTCAATATTTTTTTAATGGGTGAAGATGGAGTGGTAACCTCGCTTGCGCTATCGGTATACACTGCCGAGGTACCAGTGAAGGATGACACGTGAGGATGAAGGCAGGTCAGTTGGCCCATAGTGACCAATTGTACAAAAATTAGCCATTATGGTTTCCAGGTGGAACCGCATGGAGGTCGACCTAATAGGGTACGTTGATAGCAATGGAGCTGTTAAATCTCATTACTAACAATCCCTTTCCCTCTTCTTCTCTAGTTTATAACCTATAATATAGTTGCATTTTAATCCTTATGTTGCCAGTAGTTGCCACATTTGGGAGGCGGGTTGGCAACTGTAGTTAGGCTTTAGAGATGTTTTAAGAGGAATGCTGCTGCCCATCCCTTGCCTTCCCTAAGTCGGCTCTTACGACATCCACGGGAAAGGAAGGGGTGGCCTATTCTATGCCGGGACCACACGGCAAATTATATGTTTACAATATATAAATATGTTAAATGATGTTTTACATTCCCCCAATTCATGAGTACACCGCCTATATACCTACTTCTCTGTTTGCACTGGCTACTCGTAAAGAACATGATCCGGTGTTTTTTTTAATGGATGATAATAGAATGGTTACTCCATCTGCGCTAACGGTATACACTGGCAACGCCCCAGTGGGGGATGCTAGGTGAGAATGAAAAGGCAGATCAGTTAGCCCATTGTGATGAATACACCTGGAATTCAGCATGATAGTTTTCAAGGGGTACCACGACAGGCTATATTGACGACCTGATAGGGTATCCTGCTACGAATGAGTAGTACTCCGCATTACTAACAATCCTCTCCCCCCTCATCATCTGCTGTCCAGTCCACCAAATGAGTATATATATGCACACTCTGCATTAAAGTTTAAAAAACATATTTGCAATGATGTAGACCGGTGTTTCCCAATGTGGGGTCCGAGGCCCACAGCAAGGCAATAAAAAAATGGACTCGAAGCGATTTTAACCCTCTTGCTCCGGGCCATTTAAATGCAATGCTACTAGTAGATATCGGTGCCAAATCTACCAAAAAAAGTAAATAAAAAAAATGCTGTAAATATTTATCAGATATAATTTCGCTTGACGTTACCAAAATATCAACTGGGCGATTAGAGTCATCTAGTAAACTTTGTCGGGAAAAATTATGTATGGGGGCATAAAAATTTTGGAAATGTTCAGGTGGGGCATGGCACAAAAATGGTTGGGAAAGACTGGTGTAGACTATTAGGCATAACTCTCAAACCAATAATACAGGTCAAAAACGGGTTTAAAGTACAAATGAATGATTGCTCTGTACCAGATCAAGTGCGTATGTCCTCATATCACCTTGACTGGTCTGGATAAGCCTTTTAATCAATATATGACCTGGTCAAACGATCTAGTTAGTGCCAATCATTCAGTAGCAGGCCAGTGCCGCATCTTTCAATTGTTGATTGATATGACATATAGCGTTGTTACCTAACGCCTTCTTGTTCTTGATGAAGTGGATTAATATGTGGCTTGCTCTCGTTATTAGAGTCATCAGTTCATTGGAAGTCAACGAATGACAGTTTATGATCAGATATAATTAGTTGTTTATTTGGCGATTCGGCCTTTAATTTATTAACTTTTGAAGAAATACTTGGAATGTTTATTGTATTTATTGTTTGTTCGTGTGTATATTGGGTATAGCAACTCCCAAACGGATGGATGCGGTAAGAACGATTATGGAAAGAAGATCCATGCTCAGCAGTTGAACTGTAATAGGTTTTCTTCTTCTTTTGGCTTTGGCTTTTTAGGCTCTAATGGTGATTTTGCATGCCCATTTTACTCGTTCTTGAGCCACGAAAAAAAGGATTTTGCAAAAGTACTGAGATATAGAAAAAAATTAAGATCAAATTTTAAACGTCTTCCACTTTTAAATTTATTGTTAATAAGAAACTCAAGAACAAATTTAACCCAAAAGAAAGCAGCACCAAATATAGTTACATAAATATAACATTAGTATTTTCTTTTTATTTACAGCATCTGGCGTTAGTTCCTAATTCCCGGTCGTACCAGAGCTGGTTGGCGCCCAATGTACCACTATACTTTGAGGTTTACCTCTTCAACTGGACTAATGCAGACATGTTCCCGATGGAGAAACCCAATTTGGAGCAGTTGGGTGAGTGTATCTTTAGGAATTCCAGCTAATCATTATCTTCCTGCTCTTATCTCAATTATTATTTGGGGTCGTCGTAATGTTTTTATTTATATTTAAAAAAAATTTGGCTTTTAGTTTTATGACTTCTTTGGGAAAATTCAGAATTCTTTGGGAATTCCAGCTAATAATTATGGTTGCAAACAAGCATACGACGTAGACGTTATACCAGAGGCAGAATTTGTACAAAAGTCGTTTGGTTGGGCACTTCTGTCCCGTTCGTGTTTCTACCGTGAAGCAGCCGTATTTGCATGGTTGTGTTTTGGTTTGAAGGGTGGAATATGGCGTAAATTTACAGGATACAGAGGAATAACACCTGAGTCCTCAGGAATGGCAACGCATGAGGGGTATCATGCGCGAAACAGTATACTCTGTTATGTTCATGATACTGCTCATGTCTATAGGCGACGGTTATTACTTTCTATCAGGTGAGCCGTCAGCTTGTTTGCCATTCTAAGTTGTATAATTTTTTATACAACTTAGAATGGCAACTAACTAACTAAACTTCTTTTACCATTTTAAGAAAAAAATTTAAACTCTGAACAAAAATGACCAAGTTCTGTGGAATAGGGGATCATTAAATGTTACATTGTTATTTTTTTTTAATGGATGATAATGGAATGGTAACTCCACGCGCGCTATCGGTATACATAGGCGGGGCTCCAGTGAAGGATGATAGGTGAGGATTATATAGGTCAGTTAGCCCATCATGACAAATCAACAAGAATTGTTGACGATGGTTTCCAGGAGGAACCACGTGGCGGTCGATCTAATAGGGCATATTGCTAGCAATGGGGCTATCAAACCCCATTGCTAACAATCCCTTTCCCCCCGTTACATTGTTATTACAGTAAGGTACATGGAATAATTTTAGTATTCCCTTTTTACCTTCTCTTTTAAACGAAACATGGCTTAACAGATCGATAGCATCCCACTTTGCGTTTATAATTTTATATAGCGTATAATATAACAAATCGTTGTTAATATATTTATTTATTTATTCTTTATTGTACACAAAAAATTACAAACATATAATATATATTAAATAAAGATGTACAACAGGCGAGCTTAACTCTGTAAGAGTTCTCTTCCAGCAAACCCTGAGTGGAGAGGAGCATTAATTACCAGCGGGCATTGTGCGTACAATAATAGGAGGAAACAGTATAGCTGTTTCTGTTAAGAAATAATAAATATGTACAAATATTTCAACTAAATTCTATATAGATAGATATTTTATCACCAACAACAATAATTACTAAATTAAATTAACAAATAAATTAAATTACTTAATTAAATTAATAAATTAAAATTAAATAAACAATAACAAAAATAGAAAAAAAATCAATTTGCTGGTATAGACATATTGCCTTATCATCATCACCATTTCAGCCACTATCCGTCCACTGCTGGACATAACCCTCCCCCATACACTGCCTTTATGATCGGTCCTGAGTCCTGAGCTACCTGCATCCACTGACTGCCTGCAATGCATTTGAGGTCGTCAATCCAGGGGTGTTCTTCTCTAGAAATCTGTCCGATTCTAGAAAAAGGGCATACGGGTATGCGACGCCGGCCTCCCGAGCCGCTGCAGTGTCCCAGTCCTTTCCGCAACTGCAGTGTCCCCTCTCCCCTTTCCTTTCCCACATAAGTCCCTTATTCCTCTCATTCACCAATTTCCTTCACACATTTCCAACGTTTTCCTCCTTTTTTCCTCAATCCTTTCCACCATACCGTCGGTGACGGAAACCACCAACAAATGCATTCCCAAAGACGGTTGACGTCGGGCAGGTGGCCGGTCGTAAAACTAAAAACCAAATCTTTTTGTAATATGGATAAAATCATATTACGCCGACCCCAAATGATTGGGATAAGGGTAGGGAGATGATGATTCCATCTAGTTGAGGGTCATCTTACACTGCTTTACATATTGCTTAATTTAATATAATCCAATTTCAGGTCCTTACCGTTTTCTGGAAAAACGACAGCACGTCAACGTTACTTGGCATCGAAACAACGGGACCCTAGGCTTTAGGACTCTGCATAGTTGGCATTTCGACCCCACGAGTAACGGGACCCTTGAAGATAACATCACTACCCTCAACGCTATTGCAGCTGTAAGTTAAATTATATCAATTGAAAGTATTTTGATGGATCTTAACTGTAACCTAGATTATTTGTTCCTTCGAGAGTGGCAATCAAGCATACTCACCTGACGCTAAGCGGGCAAGCGATCATAGTAGCCCAAGAATACGTGCAATCCATAGGCAACTCTTGTATATTGCTGACTCTCTTGATAGAGAGGGGAAGGGATTGATATGATACCAATCTCCTTGCTAGCAACACACCCTGTCAGGTCAACATCCCCATGCTCTGACAGAAAGATACTTGCACTGACAGAAAGAAACACTTAAATAAAAAATAAAATAGTTTGTTTCAATCATACACTAAGAACGAACTATTAACAGAACTTTCTAAAAATGTAAACAAAAGAGTATTTGATGCGATTATAAGTAGGCTAAGTATGCTGACTAAGAACAAGGAATTACATAGAAGGAATGATAAAATAAAAACTATAAATCATATGGTTGCCTCCTTTCTTCTTATGCAAATATAATTAGTAAAAAGAGGACGAAAGATACACCATCAGTTGCTATTTTTGTTAATTCATAGCAGGCTAGTGTATAGAAAATGTTATACGGCCGTATAACTCTACCAAATTCAGATACAACCTGCATGCATACTTTCTACGTAAACTGTGTTGAATATATGTTATGTGTATATATGGTATGCTTTGTGTACTATAATCCTGCAAGGGTGCTCGTTAAAAGTTCGTAATCCAGGTGTGATTGCGTAAAGGTATGCCATTAGTAAGTACGTCTGTGTACTACTGAGTTATCGAAGTGTTTTTTGTCAGATTACGGGGATCTGGTTTTATCGGAGACCCTTTATCGGACTTAATCTACTTTATTTATCCTTTACAAGGAAAATTACCAAATATATTGTTTTTTACTTTGTCTTTTTTATTACTTTTGAATCGATGGAGAGAATAATCTTTAATTGTGACTAGTTCTTCTTTTGATGGAGTGAAGATCTTAAATGTACAGGGAATCGAGGGATGTAAGTTTTTTTGTAGTTGGCAACAATAAAGATGTTCCATTTTAAACGACAAAGGTGGCCGTACTAAAATACTGGGAAACGAGCTAAAATAAGCTGTAGACGTTCCTAACACGCAGGGAATCTGCTCTGATATGCTGGAAACGCGCTTTTGAAAAACCTCATAATGGGCTCTTTATGAAAATCTAGGAATGAACTTCATTCCATATTTTGAGCATCCGCCAGAGGAAATTCTATCGGGACAGCATTATTTGTGACCATTTAGCTCCCAGAATATAAAGTAAAATTCCATGTTGGTGACGGGTGAGCGATGATAGAAGGTTAACGTGACTCGGAGGGGGGGAAAAGATTGTTAGTAAGGGGGTCTAACAGACCCATTGCTAGCAATATACTTTATTCTCCCTAGAAACCATCGTGGTTAATTCTTGTGGAATTCGTTACGATGGGCAAACTGACCTGTTTTTTCCTCACCTCTTACTGGTGCCCCGCTTTTGGCTTTTAATAACTTAAGTTTTAAGAGGAACGCTGCTGCCTATCCCTCTACCATAAGCTCTTTTAGTCGCCTCTTACGACACCCGCGGGAAAGGAAAGGGTGGCCTATTCTACGCCGGGACCACACGGCTAGAGTATATATAATTAGATATGTTACCCACCATTTTTAACAATGCTAATTTCTGTTTTCAGTCTGCTGTATATCGGTCCAGATTCTGGGGTTTCTTTCAACAGAAAGGCCTCTCGATGGGCTTGGCGCTATTTGGACAACAAATGGCTGTATCGAGGCTGGCCGGCGAGTTATTGTTCGAGGGATATGAAGATCCGCTGTTGGAGTTCGCGAAGACTTTACCACCGAGTACTACAGGTGGCGCTCCGCAAGTGGATAGATTTGGTTGGTTTTATGAGGTAAGTATTTTTTTTTAATGGGTGATAATGGTATGGTAACTCTGTCTGCGCTATTGGTATACACTGGCGGGGCACCATGACTGATGAGAATGAAAGCAGGTCCACCAGCCACGATGGTTTCCAGGAGGAACCTCGTGGAGGTCGCCTTACAGGGTATATTGCTAGTAATTGAGATATTTGACCCCATTACTAACAATCCCTTTCCCCCCTGAGGTAAGTATTTATTACTCGTTTGAGTTGTGCCCATTATTGTCATGTCACTAGTTTGTAGGCTGTTTTTGTTTTTTTTTTTATTGATCTACGATGATGCTTACCAAATGTCGACTTTACGTTCACTCCATATCTCTCGTTAAAATCTCTTGAAAAAGGACTGTATATTTTACGAAATAATAAGACAGTCGCTGCTAGTGGTAGAGAACAAATATAATAACTGAATGATGACATTGTCAGATATCGAAAAACAAAATAAAAAATATAAAATTTAAAAATATACTCCAAAAAGGTGCGTTCTGCACACTCCCCAAAGGGGAATTTATATTCAGCAGTGGACAGTTAAAGTCTGATATGATGATATTAATGAATTATAATTAATTTTAAGATCTGCTACTTGCCGGTAAATATCACCAATATTTACCTAGTGAATAAAATTTATTCATTCATTCAAAGAATATTTACGCCGTTACGCCAAAATGCTAGCTGAGCAAATCTGCACTATCTGTAATCGACACTGGGTATTACTACACGAAATAATTTTCTTTTTGTGTCCAATGATGGCAATTGGACACAAAAAGAAAGTCGATTGCTTGAGTACCTCTGTCCCATTCGTTTTTCCACCGTGAAGCAGTTGTGTTTGCATGGCTGTGTTTCGATTTGAAGGGTAGGATGTGGCGTGAATTTACTGGGTACAGTGGAATAACATCTGAGTCCTCAGAAATGGCAACGCTTGGGGAGTATCATGGGCGAAACAGTATACTCTGTTATGTCCATGGTACTGCTCATGCCTATAGGCGACGGTTACCACTTTCCATCAGGTGGGCCGTCAGCTTGTTTGCCATTTTAAGTAGTATAAAAAAAAAAACAACCTTTTTATTAGTTCTTCTTGGTTACTAAAAATGTATCTCTAATTCTGACAAATAATGAGCAATGGAAGTACTTGGCACTGTTATCATTCAGTAACCTTCATATAATTGGTTTCCAGAGAAATAACTCATTAGATATAGACGGGTATATGGAGGTGACGACAGGAGAGCACGGTGGTACGCTGCCAGGACAGATTGTACGGTGGAACCACAATTACCGTCTGCCGTACTACAGCGGGAATTGTGGGCAGGTACCAGTATAAGCATTTAAATTTTTATACTATGGTTGGAATGGTCCAGATTTTATTTATTTATATGGAAAACATGGCCGTGTGGTCCCGGCATAGAATAGACCACCCCTTTCTATCCCGTGGGTGTCGAAAAAATCGCTTAAGCGAGGGCGAAGGATGGGCAGCAACGTCCCTCTTAAAACATATGTAAAGCCTGACTGCGGTTGCCAATCCACCTGCCAAGCGTCGCAACTACTGGCAAAACCTCCCAAGGGGAGGCTTATGTTCAGCAGTGGACAGTTAAAGGCTGATATGGTGATATGGCAAACAAGCAAACGGCTCACCTGACGGGATGTGGTAACTGTCGATTAAAAACAGGAAAATACCACCTTATATACTGATGGCCTTCGTAATGCAGTGGTGAGCGCGTCGCTAATGAAGTCCTGGTTTCGATTCCCGGTCGGCTCAATTTAGGAAAAGAACTTACCTAAATTGGTTGTACCCCAAAACATTCATTACCTTATTCCTCATATTATATCCGTATTTTATTATATAATTATTGTTATTGTTGGTACTTTGAAATAATATATACATTACTTTGAAGTTTAGGGTACTTTTGTATGGTGATGAAGAAAGAACATTCCCTAGGGCAGTGATTCTCAACCACTGTGCCGCGGCACTTTTGTGTGCCGTCAAATTTTAAAAGTGTGCCGCCAAACTTTGCAAATATTTAAAATTTTTGTCACAAACTATTTATGCAGTGTGTTGTAGTGAGTAAATAATTTTTATCTTGTTCTTTGTGCGCCGTCAAATTTTGAAATCGTTAAATATGTGCCGCAACAAAAAGAAAAGGTTGAGAATCACTGCCCTAGGGTATCGTAGGAGGCAACTAGGTAAAAGGTACAATAGATCAGTATTAGTTCAGCAATAGAACCTTAATAAGATTTCAAGATGATATTATCATAGCCTTAATTTTTTGGAGTGTGCTATAGTAGCTCCTAGCCGGCTGTTACGGCATTCAGGGTATAAAAAGAGACGCTACATGGTCAAACATTTGTTCTACGGGAAACCTCGCTTTTTTTTAGTGGGCGATAATGGAATGGTAACCCCACCCGCGCTATCGGTATACACCGGCGGGGCGCCAGTGAAAGATGATAGGTGAAGATAAAGCAGGTCAGTTAGGCTATCGTGACGGATTCAACAAGAATTGTTCACGATGGTTTCCAGGGGGAACAACGTGGAGGTCGATCTAATAGGGTATATTGCTAGTAATGGGGCTGTCAAACTCGGATTGCTAACAATCCCTTTCCCCCCCGGGAAACCTCGTTAGCTGCTATTACCTAGCACCTAGTAGGTGCTTTAACGTAAATGTAATTTTTTTAATGCGTGATAACGGAATGGTAAAGTGCCTGCGCTATCGGGATAAGTTGGCGGGGCACCGATGAGGGATGATAGGTGAGGATGAAAAAGCAGGTCAGTTAGCCCACCGTGACGCATTCCACTAGAATTAACCGCGATGATTTCCAGGGATCGCGTGGAGATCGGCCTGATAAGGTGGGTCAATTAAACCCCATTACTCGCAATACCTTTCCCATTCGAACGATATAGGTTCACTAGTTAAACATTACTTCTACCTTTTCAGCTTTTAGGCAGCGCTGGGGAGTTCATGCCACGGAATCTAACTGAAGAGTCCGAGCTGCTAATGTTCTCACCAGACCTGTGCCGGACAGTTGTCATGGACTACATGGATAGCGGTGTACATAACGGCCTTCAGTACCACAAATACGGGATAACAGCCAGAAGTTTCGATAATTGTAAGTGATTTGATCAACTTAGTGATAATTATTTTATGTCCATGGTAATGCTCATGTCTATAGGTGACGGTTACCACTTTCCATTCTAAGTTGTATAAAAAATGACAGGACTAGGCTGATTCGTGCTATGAGGCATGCTGGGGGCAAGTATCATATGAAAAAAGAGATGACATAAATCTTTGCTAATATTATAAATGTGAAAGTAAGTTTTTATGTTACCTCTTAGTACCTTAACAACTTAACCAATCACAATAAAATTTGGTATACACGTACTATGTGAGAGGGAGAAGGACATAGGCAAACTTTTATCCTGGTTACGCGGACAAAGTCTCAGGTAAAAGCTAGTATAATATAATTTAGGATTTCGTTCCAGAAAATCAAATTAAATCCTGACAAAATATAGGACCAATTAGGGAGTAAACACTCGTTAAAAAAAAATTAAAGTGAGTTAAAAAATCATTCGATTGGTCCTCTTTTCAGTCATTTCCCGTTTGGTCACGAACAGCATCATGAACATCACAAGACGTCACTGTGAAGTTAGCGCCTAAGGTATATCATAATATACCTTATGCGTGATTCTTGAAGACTATGGTTTTGTCTCCGTACCCCGAATTTTATTGTCATACCCAATTCGTCAAATCGAAACATTGCCATGCAAATATAGCTGCTTTACGGGTAGGATCTGTTCCAGAGGTGTCCAACTCTAGGCAGACGACTTTTGAACAAAGTCTCTCTCTAATAAAACCTTCTTTTATATATTTTTTTAATACTACTATAATGGCAAACAAGCATACAGCCCGATGATGATGATGGTAAACCGTACCCTATGGACACCTGTAACACCAGGGATCTCACGCGCGCGTTGCCAACCCTTTAAAAACCTTAATACATCCTTTTTGAAGAACCCCATGCTGCAGTCTCTAGGAAAAGCCTCGGCAGGAAGCATATGGCACTGCGTGACCATTCTGAGTCTAAAGTGTGTGAATGGATTCCCTACCGATGGCGAGCCGTAAATCGATTTAAAACAAAATTTATTTAGATGATCTACAACTGCCCAATTTTTCCCCTAGCAACATTTTCATCAGAGAACACATGTTTCTGCAACGGTGCGTGCGAGTGGAGCGGGGTCATGAATGTCTCCGCCTGCCGGTTTGGGTCGCCGGCGTTCATCTCTCTCCCGCACTTCTTACACGGAGATCCTCAGCTCCGGGATCTCGTAACCGGAATGGATCCGGACCCTGAGAAGCATTCCTTTTATTTTGCTGTCGAACCGGTAAGTTTTTTTCAAATTCCTAATGTTTAATTATATAGGACAGTCATATTATTCAGGGTTTCGGCATTAAATGTAGTGATAGTCTGGGATATGATCCATCTACCATTTGTAGATATGTTTTTCATTCAATTCCGTTAAGCTGTTTAAGCGTTATTAAGAAATAAACATCCAAATACCATTAGGAACTGTCATATTTAGAAATTAGTAATTAAAGATTGTGTCCCTCAAAAAAACAGACCTCCATTGTGACAAAACCTGTTATGTTGATGTAAAAAGTAAACTGCTGAACCCATTTTGATAAAATTTCTCGAAAACCAAACTGTAAGTATATCCTTTTAGATAAAAAAATAATTTTCCAAATTGGTTTACAAATAACAGAGAAAAGAGTTATATATATTTTGCATTAAATTTTTTTATCGTTTTTGGACCCATAATTATTTGGTGAAAATGTTCTCTGAAAATGTCTGGTGAAATACTCACTTAAAAGTATGCTAAATATTTCGAATCCACGTCCATATAGAGTACTACGTGAAAACCGACTTGACAATGCTATTGCTAACAATGGGATTGTATTTGTATGTTGATAGCGAAGGGGTCTAACCTTCCCTTTATTAACAATTCCTTCCCTACCCATGGGTCTCAGTTTGGCCAGCCTTGCCCTAGAATAATGCAGTTTTATTCATTACAGCGCCTGGGTGTTCCAGTGGACGTATCTGGAAGATTTCAACTAAATCTATATCTAGAAGCGAACCCACACGTAGCGTAAGTATTTGTACTCAGAAATTGATACTGGTTTTCAAAGCATATATAACATCCTTGGCGATATCCTGTTTGCCAATTTTGTGGTATAAAGGAAAAACACTGTCACCACTATTTTCCATACTTAAGAGGTTGGAGAGGCAACTAAGGAAATAAAGTACCATAGACACTGGTTTATGGTGCAAGAAAAGGAAATATTGATAGAAATAAGATCAGCATGGTAATAATCACAATCCTATACCTCTCACCAGAGGGAAACTTTGTACAAAAGTCGGTTGCTTGGGCACCTCTGTCCCATTCATGTTTCAACCGTAAAGCAGTTGTTTGCATGGCTGTGTTTCGGTTTGAAGGGTGGGATATGGCGTGAATTTACAGGGTACAGAGGAATAACACCTGAGTCCTCAGGAATGGCAACGCATGGGGGGTATCATGGGCGAAACAGTATACTCTGTTATGTCCATGGTACTGCTCATGTCTATAGGCGACGGTTACCACTTTCCATCAGGTGGGCCGTCAGCTTGTTTGCTATTCTAAATTGTATAAAAAAAAAAAAGAAACAGAGGAGTTTCAGAGGAATCGTGAAGGTTTTAGCGTTTGACGATAAATTCCTTGTCAATGGCGACCAGTGTGTTGATGAATGATAGTTGGCTTTGATTTAATTTTGCGAGAAAAATGACATCTATCGACATAAAATTAATATGGGACCAATATGGGTTTAAATCTTATCGACTGTAAAAAATAATTGCAAAAATTAGTTACAATTTGAGACGTAATCACGTTCCATACTTGTACGATGGTGGCGCCGTCTGTTGCCAAGATTTTCTAAGTCGCCTTTATTGTACATGAAAGCCACTATGTGGCATAAAACAAAATAATATTTTTCAAATGATCTAAACATGAATTTGGTAATTCAAGGGTGTAAGCTAGGATTCGATCTTAGGACCTCCATACATAGTCCGGAATAAGAGTTGTCTAACTGAGTTACCACCACCTCGTAAAGTTAAAAAAAAAAAATATTTTATTCCTTTCAGTCTCTACGAGCACGTGCCGAAAATGCTCTTCCCCATACTGTGGGTGCAGCAGAGGGTGATAATCGACGATGCCATAGTGGCTGAGCTGCTAATGGTGCGTAGCGTGCTGGACTGGGGGGGCATAGTCTGTGCCGGGGCGGCTCTGGCCTTCGCAATTATAGCCACGGTAGCCTCATGCTGCAGTAACACCAAAAAAAGAAAGTACTCGAAGCCCTGCGATTTATTTAAGACATGTGATAAGTTAAAGGACGACGCAGAATTAAAATTGAATTCGATGTGAGATATCTATTTGAGAAACTACTGAATAAATCAGCTCCCCCTATTCTCTATAACAACATTGTGTGAATATTTTACGATTAGTAACTGTCAGAAAATTATATTACGAAGCAAATTTGTTTTTACTTTTCTATGACAAACAGCGCCATTTGCGATATAGTAGCAAAAGACAACACTAATTAACAATAATTTTAGTTCCTAAATTGCTCTACAGAGGCAGCACCAATAAGATACAAAATATCATGAATGAAGTTTGGTAAAATTGCGTGCAATTTTGCGCGGTCGCAACTGTTTGCTATTATAAAGAATTACTCCCGGTTAAAGTAAAAAAGAATAACCCCTTATTTGTATTAATAGTAAACATCTAATGAACTTATTATACCTGTTTGCGTATTTTATCTTTTTTTATTAAGTTAGTTAGAAAGGAAATGGGCTGTATGCTTGTTTGCCAACTTTACGGTATTAAAAAAAAATATTAGGAAAATTATTTTAATATTTAAAACGGTGTGCAAAAAAATTTTGGCGGGAGATTTTGCCAGTAGTAGCTACAGTTAGCTCTCTCTCTTTAAGAGCCTTACCTATATACAATTAGATTACAGACAAAAGATCTAAAATGCTCCTTATGTAATTAACCTAGGTGATTGGTTCATATTTTTTTTTAATCAAGAAAATATTGTCGACTTAAAATTTGTATTTCGATTTTTGCAATTTGTTAAATGAGATTTTATATTTTTTATATAATAATGTTAATAAGAAATAATGTGATAATTTTTAAGTTATTTTTCGGTAAACATAATATACCATAAATCCAAATAATACTAATAAAGCAGAGGACATTTATAACGAAATGCGTCGTGTTCAATATTATTTCTTTATGTAATAATTAATTTGTGTTCTGTAAAAAAAAACTAATTTCAATTATAGTAAAAATCAGTTATATTTTTCAAAAATTAAACTAATAAACTGATTTAAATAAAATTTCTATTGGACCAATCTGTTAGTACATTCATTCAGATATTGTAAAAATATATTTTCTCAAATCGGTTTACATCTAACGATGTTATGAGGCAACGAATATAAAAATTCAACCGAATTGAGAACCTCCCTTTTTGAAGTCGGTTAAAAATTATACGAAATGATTTTATTTGTTCATAATTTCGAATCTTAAAATTATAAAGTTAAGCTATTTTAATATACCTAACAAATATATATTAAAATCTGTGTTGGAATCTTACAATATTGTTCAAAATACATGTATGTGATAACTATTAATTAAAACATTGAGATTTACCAACATAAGATATATATTTTTAATATATAGATACTAACAGATGTAATATACACGAGGGAGACTTTGTACAAAAGTCGATTGCTTGAGTACCTCTGTCCCATTCGTGTTTCAACCGTGAAGCAGTTGTGTTTGCACGGCTGTGTTTCAGTTTGAAGGAATGGATATGGCGTGAATTTACTGGGTACAGAGGAATAACACCCGAGTCCACAGGAATGGCAACGCATGGGGGGTATCATGGGCGAAACAGTATACTCTGTCATGTCCATGGTACTGCTCATGTCTATAGGCAACGGTGACCACTTTCCATCAGGTGGGCCGTCAGCTTGCTTGCCATTCTAAGTTGTATAAAAAAAAAGTAGTTATTTAAGTGCAAATAAAATTTCGTATTATTATTCTATTTAAACCAAAGATGTTGTCATAGTTTAAGATAATGTAAGATAATTAACCTTTATATGTATTTGCGTAAAATATACTCATAAATGATTGTGTGTCAATCTGAATGTAAATGGTCATGGACAATACAGGGTGTGTATGGGTTATGGGAACAAACGTCGTATGAAATTGTTAACAATTTTTGTTAATAGAAAAATAAGCTCATAGACAAGTGGAATATAGACAGTCGTTTATTTTAAAACGTAAGATTTTCTACAGATGGACGATTCCTGTGTAAATATTTCGGTGCTTCGATAGAAGACTGATTTGAATTCGAATCAAATACCATGAAAATATATTTAATTCATTCATTTTTTTTTGTCTCTAAATCAGTGTATTATTATGAGAAAATAAATTTTTAATATATGATGTATTCTGTTTCAATTTAACGGGACACTAGATGGGACAAAGTTAAATTAGAGTCGTAGCATTTACTTTTGACTGTATTTTTGATATTATTAAATTTTAAGTCCTGATACACTTATTACTCGGTAAAAATAATATAATAAATATACAATGCGTAACAAAATCCAGCGAAAAATGGACAAATAATAAATTTACAATGAGTCGAAATGGAACGATTATTTTGAAGTAGGGGTGGATAATATAATATATAGGAATATCTATGTATTTTGATTACAATACCTATATATTGCCACAATAACGAATATATTAAATATCGAAATGAAGAACCTAATCGAAATAAATATAGATATTTATTTATTTATTTATTTACAGGATTACCAACATAAGATACAGCTACAATAAAGCTAAGTTTTAATACAATACACTGGCAGCTCAGATCTCACCGTTCTTACATTTATAGGCAACCACAGCATGCCTTGTGTTTGACAAACATTAAAATAGAATTAAATTATTAAATGAGTAAAGATATTAACAATATGAATAATAATATAATATAAATAATGGAAATTGTATTCAAATTATTATAAAATATAAATAAATATAATGTAATGGGGAGGTATATCAACACTTTAATTTAGTCATGAATACAGAGTGAATATTCGACCTATATGTACGATTTCGAAATAAATAATGACTATTTTTCCGCCATCATTATCGAGAGATATTCAATATATAGGTATCGAAGCGATACCGATGTTAACCATGCCTATTTTGAAGTATAGTAAATATGCTAATCATCGACTTTTAACTACCTCATCAAAGATTATAGTCGTGAGCGCATTTTCTTAAGTATATTTTGTTTTCATAAGATGTATATGTTATATACTTAGGCACCTATATATGAAATTCCGTATTACATATATTGTACAATTTGTTATGAAATATATGCATAATCTAAAACCTTACGATTGTAGCGACCTCTACGGAAATAATATTCGAAATATTCCATTTTTAATTTTGAGTGCCATAGCGATCCTCTGAGTGCGCGTGCTAGTGTATATGTATATTTATTTTAAAAAATATACATATGAATAAAATTAAAATAATTAGTTTTCTAACAAGAATTTAAAGAAATTCCACAAATGCTTGATGGTATGTTTGTAATGTATTAATGCATTTTTTATTTGTATTGAAATATGAGTAGAATAAAAAATATATTTAAAGATAACTAGATGCATGATAATATCATAACTCCGAAATGCTGCATAGCGTGGCTATTGTTTAATGTTAGTAAATACATATGTTTAAAGTATTAAGTTGAAAATTAATTAAAATTATTTGAGACCAATTAGGGTAAGCTGTTGTATGGAGTTGTATGTAAGAATTAGAAAGTCTTTGCCTATCATGAGAAAGACATACGAACCTAACATAATGTAATGTAAGATATTGTACGTTCATATATTTTGTTTATTATATAGCTTTAATTAAATAATTAGATTAATAAGCTACATTTTATCAATATAATAAATTTGTAACTAAGCGATGTCTGTACATGGGAGTTATTTAAAAAAAAAAAAAAAAAAATATATATATATATATATATATATATATATATATATATATATATATATATATATATATATATATCAAGAATTTTAATAACTAATTTAAAATCTGTTATATTTTATCTTGATGTGCCTTCTAAAAATGTTTCACTTCATTCGTTTTCCTACTTCTGTTATACCCACGTGTACAAAGTAGCGGACAAAAAGCTAGTTTTTTTTTTTAATAATAAGAAAATTACTCGTATGTAAACCACCGTGAATGACAAATAATAAAGCCTATATAAATAATTATAATGACAAATAAAATAATAAATATTGATATAAAGTTAATATGTTTTATTATGCCTTACCTTAACGGTGTCCCAATAGTAAGGGCTCCCGCAGACGAGGGACAGTTTTTATTATTGGGAAAATACTGTATTTTTAGTCTTTCGAATTCGATATATCTAAAATACAATTGAATATGTTTTTTTTTAATAGATGATAATGGAGTGCTACTTTACTGGTGCCCCGCCTGCGTTAACGGTGTACGCTGGCAGGGCACCAGTAAAGGATAATAAGTAAGAATAAAAAGGCAAGTCAGTTAGCACATCGTGATGAATACGCCTGGAAGTCAGCACGATGGTTTCCAGGGGGGACTACGTGGAGGTCGACCTGACAGGGTATATAACTAGCAATGGGACTGGTAGTCCACTTTACTAACTATCCCTTCCTCCCAATTGAAATTGTTTATTACTTATAACTATTATTTTTTATAACTTTCCTACAAACTAAAATAAATTTTGTGTAAACTGAGAAAATGTGATTTGGCCTAAAAGTCCTACAAACAAGCCATAAATTCTTTAGAAAAAACTTACAGGACAAAAAATTTAAGAAGAACTGTAAACGTATTAACAAAATTTGTTCTTTCACATTCGAAAATGGCGCCAAAGAGCCGCCATATCGAATATTCAAATAAAATTATAGCCAATGTAACTAGAAATGTTGTAAGGATTCTAAAAATTTTAGAAATATATGGAGGAATAAAGAAATTTACCTACGTACAATAAACCTTGAACACATTACACTCTTTTTTTGAGTAGTTACGTAAAAAAGTAACCCCGAGGTGACCTTTCGGTAAGACCTTATTATTTACTCATAAATAAAGTCTGTCCACGTGCAGTTTAGCTATACCAATCGAGGCATTATAAAGCTGGGTTCAGATTGACACTGTGGAACAAAATAAATAAGCAAACCACAGTGTTTGTGGTTACGAATTTTTTAACGGACGATATTGGAATAGTTATCTTGTCTGTCATACCAATGTATATCTGCAGGACGTCAGAGAGAGATAGGTGACAATAAAAGCAGGTATATTAAGACAGTTAAAAGAAAATGGTCAAGCATCCTCAAATACTATTAATAGAATAAAGTTTGTAAGGTTGGATGGATTGATGGATAGACATGCTTGTTACTCTTTCACGCAAAAACTATTTGAATGAAATTTGGTACACGGGTAGATTGTATTTTATCTTATTACATAGGATACTTCATCAACTTACTGATCCAGGCGGTTGAAGCCGCAGGTTTAATATAAAAAGGCAATTCAGTGTAAAGTCTTAACAAAAGGAGAGAGAGGGAGACTAGTGGAAAGCTTTGTAAAATAGTCATCCGTATCTGTACTTACTTTGGTCACATGCATGTTTTGCTGTGAAGCAGTTGTTTTTCTGCATTTCTGTGTGAAGGGCATAGCGATAGAACTAGAAGGTACGGAGGCATAACACTATAATCCTCTGCAATAGCAACACATGAGGAGTACCATGGGATCACCACAGTCTTCAGGAGTGGCTTGCTTGTACATGACATATCATAATATAGTATCATATGCGTCAGTCAGTGATTATCACTTTCTGCTACCTGATCAATTTCTTTACCATTTTAAATATCATAAAAATACACACATGCAAACACAAGAAAAATTTTGTAAAATAAAATTTACTACACAAAGGTAAATTTTAATCGCCGATAAAATGTCCACCGTGTACGTGAACCCTTACTGTCATGCTAAGTTTTACCGGTGTGTCTGCACCTTTAGACGCCGCGGTGGGCTGTAAGTGCGGGATGTTGGTAACAATAGAGCAAGCGATATTTAATGGAGTAAGTGGCCTAAATAAATGGGGGTCATGGCTCACGGGCATCTAGTCTTTTTATATAATAATCAATACCCTTAGAAATATTACAGCGCCATCTAGTTCTAAGCTAAGCGAAGAATTATTTATGTATTAATTATTTATTTATGAATACTAAACAAGTGATAAACATACTTATTTTATAATATTATATATATATATATATATATATATATACAAACATACCTACTTAAAAATACGAATATGTATATTGTCCGAGAATCGAAGCTACGAACATTGGTTGATAAGGCGCTATACGAGTATTAAGCCGCTAGCGCTGCTCCACTAACAAATAACAATATAACTTGTAATTGCAAACTAGCTTACGGCCTGTCTGATGGAACGTCATGAGAATAGCACCATAGACATACTGTGACACCTGAAACATTTGTACAAAGAGTTTTAGTACCATACCCCACATGTAAGTTTAACTGCATAACAGCAGAAACATGAGTGGGACAAACGTCACCGTACAGACGACTTTTTACAAAAGACTCTTTGGTTTCCTTTAGTTTAGGTAATAAAAAATATTTACCTATTATCTTCACGCTAGATTCTTTAGGGTAGGCAGAGACAACCGATAACCTATTTATATTTTACTGTATTAGGTGGTATCTTGCGAAAGTCCATATCACTGGTTATTTAATAGATAGATAGATAGATAATTTATTTGCATTAATTACAGCACACAAATAACAATACAAACATACATATAATAAAGACATACACAGTAAAAAAGATAAAAGAATAAAAAACAAAAAAAAGCAACAAAAAAAAAACAAAAAGCAAAGTATATAAAACATATAACAAATATTAATACTAATATAGCAAAATCCACTACATAAATTTTAGTATATAATCGAAGTCCATACTCTAAATCGCCTAATAAAAGTTTAATTACGATTATTTTGTTTAATTCCGCTAACATTAGTGTAGTGACACTAACGTTAGCGGCTTGGCAGTGGCCAACACTTGAAGATTGACTGTCAACACGGCAACCAAATTGCAAAACGGTATAAGCTCCGAGCTAATAATTTGCCTGAAGACGTCTCGTTTAAATGATACACGTGTCGCAAAATACATACTGTTTTGCCCATGATACTGTTTTGCCCATGCGTTGCCATTCCTGAGTTGATTGACTTTGTACAAAAGTCGTTTGCTCGGGTACCTCTGCCCCATGTCTCTCGTGTTTCTACCGTGAAGCAGTTGTGTTTGCATGGCTGTGTTTCGGTTTGAAGGGTGGGATATGGCGTGGATTTACAGGGTACAGAGGAATAACACCTGAGTCCTCAGGAATGGCAACGAATGGGGGTATCATGGGCGAAACAGTATACTCTGTTATGTCCATGGTACTGCTCATGTCTATAGGCGATGGTTACCACTTTCCATCAGGTGGGCCGTCAGCTTGTTTGCCATTCTAAGTTGCATAAAAAAAAAAACATCAGCAAACTATCTTATGACCATAACACAGACCTAATTATTCGTTTGTCCCAAATACAAATAATCTTTAATCAAACAAATTTGTTTACAAGCATTTTAAAATTGTCATTTTTTTATAAATTTACTGCAGGCCTCGGAGTGTTGTTATCTACTGATAAGAACCTGTAAGAAACTCTACAGTTACAGTATTTTAAATCTCTGTTAACATTATTTATTTTATTTAAATTTAAATACCACAATTATATAAATAAATAAGTGTACATATGGCGGACTTAACACCTAATGGCGTTCTCTACCGTCAACCGTGAGGCAAGCAGAGAATTAAGTAGGCAGTGTACATATATATATAATAAATGATGATAAATTAGAATAAATAAAAATAAATGTATTTATGTACCAAAAGGGAGACCTCTATCCCATTCGTGTTTCAACCGTAAAGCAAATGCGTTTGCATGGTTGTCTTTCGGTTTGAAGGGTGGGATATGGCGTGAATTTACAGGGTATAGAGGAATAACACTTGAGTCCTCAAGAATAGCAACGCATGGGGGTATCATGGGGGAGACAGTATACCCTTTTATGTCCACGGTACTGCTCATGTCTATAGGCGACGGTTACCACTTTCCATCAGGTGGGCCGTCAGCTTGTTTGCCATTTTAAATTGTAGAAAAAAAAATTTAAATGTACTATGTCTAAAATTACATGGTCATTAGAAAGCTCGTGCATGATCGACTAACACCATTCACATTTGTCATTCAAGTAACAGTTTAAATTGTTATTAAATTGTAAACTATAAAAACTAAATTTAAAATTCGCTCAATTATTTGTTAGTGGGACATCACAACCCATAGATAGCCTGAGTACTGATAATCAAATGTCAAACTAGAATCTCGCTTTACTTAGATAAGATACTCGGTAGACTCAAGTCCTTGGCTCTCAAATCAGCCTTTATTCAATCCAATCAGCGCGTCAGGGGGAATTGGTCAATTTAGTAATCAGCCAGGTGACGCAGGCGGTGGCAATTTGTGGTCAGACAAGAAGGGTCGGACGGTCGGATGGTCGGACCGCACCCCAGAGTTGAGAGTTAAGTGATATTATAAAAAAAAAAAAGAAAATTAAAAAACTAAAATATGTGGGGACTAATTGTTGCAGCAGTTACAGGTTAGTGTTGATTGATTAAATTTTTTTTTATATAGTGTGAGTTATAAATAAATAAATAAATAATTCTTTATTAAAGTTATCAGGACGTTTTAACGAATCTTGGCAACATTTGAAGTTTACATAATTAGTTATGCAGTAAGCGATTCAAATTTTTCAAAATTTTGTAGTAATTTTTCTGATATATTTTTTATATATTTATAATATTATTCGGTATGATATTTATATAATTTAAAGATAGATAAAAAAATATATATTTATTATTATATCATTTTATATTAATAGGTAAATTGCATTGTATGTTCGCCACTACCGCCCTCAAACTCTATTAGCTAAGCTTAAGCTTACGTTAAGCTTGCTACTTGTACTAATAATATTATAATTAAACAAAAAAAAAAAAACAAAATAAATTTTGTACATTAACAAATCATAAACGACAAAAAGTTTTGACGTTTCAATATTAAATTAACAGCTAAAAGCGTCGTGATAGTGTGGAAGACTCAAAGTATTTCGATCTGTATTTTTGGTTAAAAATATGAAAATTATTATTTTATACATTTATGTTAATGTATATAAATTTTATTTATTTATCGAAACTGTGTAATGCTAACGATATTCGATTCGACGTTTCCAAAATAAATTTCTTAGACTCCAATGTTGTTATTAAAGGAAATTAATTAGATTGCTCATTTGTCTATTACGCTGAGCTGCCAATCTGATATTTAAGCGAATAGCTATTAACATACATATCTGTAACGCCTGTCTCCCATTAGGGTAGGCACAAACAATGGAACGCCAAATGCTTCGATTCAAACAAACCTCTTTCACATCCTCCACATTCATCAATCTTTTCATACACGCTCGCCGGTTACGGGTACTTTTAATTTGGCCCTTCTTCAGCACGTCGCCTATTTGGTCAACATACGTCCTTCTAGAGCGGCCCTTACCGACATCTCCATTTATTCTTGCTCGATAAATCTCTTTCGTAATTCTTCTTTCATCCTCTCCAAATAATTAGCTATTAAATTGCAATGAAATCCATTAATTCTTACATTTAAATTAATAATAAATTACATCAGCGTCATCATCATGCCAGCCTTTAACTGTTCACTGCTGTATATAAGCCTCTCCCTTGGGTAGTTTTGCCAGTATTTGTCACGTTTGGCAGGCGGATTGGCAACCGCAGTTAGGCTTTGGAGATGTTTTAAAAGGGACGCTGCTGCTTATCCCTTGCCCTCCCTTAGTCGGCTCTTACGACACCCACAGGAATGGAAGGGGTGGCTTATTTTATGCTAGTACCACACGACTATTCGAAAATTCGAGGTTTTACTAAGATCAATATAAAACAAAACAATATTTTTGTTCCAAAAATTACTGTACAAAATTGGATGCGGTTTTCACAGTTATATTCTTGAGAGTCTAACTTAAAGTCCGGTGTACATTTTATCTTAAATCGCCATTTAGAAGAGGTTTAAGTCATCAAGCTTTCCTACTTCTGAAAGCCATACGTATGTAGCGTATTTTTTTTTCTCTGGGTACCTCTGTCCCATTCGTGTTTCTACCGTGAAGCAGTTATGTTTGCATGGCTGTTTCGGTTAGAAGGGTGTGTTATAGCAGTGAATTTACAGGGTACAGAGGAATAACACCTGAGTCCTCAGGAATGGCAACGCATGGAGAGTATCACGAGGAAAACAGTATATCTTGTTATGTCCACGGTAATGTGCATGTTTATAGGCGACGGTTATCACTTTCCATCAGGTGGGTTTTTTTTTTTGATGGGTGAAAATGGTATGGTAACCCCGCCTGCGCTAACGGGATACGCTGGCGGAGCACCAGTGAAGGGTGACAGATGAGAATGGAAACAGGCCAGTTAGCCCATCATGATGAATTCATCAGAAATTAAGCATGATAGTTTCCAGGGAGAACCGCGAGAAGGTCAACCTGGTTGGGTATATTGCTAGCAATGGGATTCTCAATCTCCATTACTGACAATCCCTTTCCCCCCATCCATCACGTGGGCTGACTGCTTGTTTGCCATTCTAAGTTGCATAAAATAAAAATATATTATACATAAAAAACCCATACAAACAGTCATACTCAGGATTTTTTTTATTGGATGATAATGGAATGGTGACCCCGCCTGCGCTAACAGTATACGCTGGCGGGGCACCAGTGAGGGATGATAGGTGAGAATGAAAATGCAGGTCAGTTAGCCTATCGTGATGAATGCATCTGAAATTCAGCACGATGCTTTCCAGGGGGATACGCGTGGAGGTCGACCTTATATATTGATAGCAATGGGGACTAACCTTCCCATTACTAACAATCCCTTCTCCCCCATACTCAGGATTGAATACAAATGTTTGTTTTACGAGGGGTTCGTAACCTGCGACCGTCGGCAGGTATAACGGTGTGAATGTTAAATCACTAAGGTTTACTTTTACTTTACTATTAAGAATTTCTGTACAATTAAATATGGTTGACTGGGAGAGAATATATATATATATATATATATATATATATATATATATATATATATATATATATATATATATATATATATATATATATATATATATATATATATATATATATATATATATATATATATATATATATATATATATATATATATATATATATATATTCTTTATTGAGCTTGTAAAAAAAATACATCGATTAGTCTAACAACTTGTTGGCAAGGGAAGGCTTATTTTCGGTTACCACTTTTCATCTGGTGAGCCGTCAGCTTGTTTGCCATTCTAAGTTGCTTAAAAAAAAGTATCTAGGTAAGTTTATAATCTATAAATCCATAATCTATGAAACGTTTATTATCTGTGGCAAATTCCTTTACAATCATAATGAAATGTCATTTGTTGTTTTTGTTTCAATGTCAACAATATCATCTAAATATAAGTTAAATCACATTGCGAGAACATATTTCTTTATGTAAGTATCAGTTTTATTATAAATAGGCTGTGTTTATTTACTTACTTTATTATTAGATATTGGATTGTGAGAAAAATAACTGAATAACAAATAGAACAGACTATTTACAGCTGATTACATTGTTCGGTCATAACCATTGCACTGACATTTGTCAGTGTTGCTAGAATTAAATATTTTAAGAAATATCTACTATAATAGTAGTTTTTGTTTTTGCAGTGGCGGTGGTAAAAAGTGAAGAGGAAGCAATGAAAAATCTAACCACAGTAAGCTGGGCTCATGCTGTCAACAATAAAACATATTTGGAAGCAGCTTTAGCAAGTAAGTTATAAATACAGCCAACTCATGTGTTGTTCATCACATTATATATTATTTGTATGTGATGTCTTAGATTATATAGATAGAGTATTGAGTATTAAAAAAGTGTCAAAATTTAACCAGTTAATTGGATGTTTGTTGATAATGATATTTTTTTTTAATACATAACTAAATGGGCTTTTCTTGCAGTGTTTCATTAATTAGATTAACTAATTTCTCAAAACAAGTCTATTTATTAATTTGAATTTGGAATTATTTTTCTGGTATAATAAAAAATATATATACATATGTACCTGTTGCTTATAAATTAATAGATATATGTGTATCAATTACAATGGCGGTCAGTTTCAATAATTTAAAAACGAAAACATATTTCATGACTCTACTTACATGTAAATCAAAATATTCAGTAAAGATAAGCATCATGAATCATTATGCATAATCTATTCAATTTTTTCAAATTTATTCTTCATTAAAAATTCGTGAAATTAATAAATATATTTATAACTGTAATCCTTCACGAAGAAGTCAGAGGTGTTCGTCGATTACATTACAGTGAAAGTAATATCCAGTGCGTAATTATATAACATTTGCTAAAAAAATAAAAAATACATTAATTATGTATGCTTTAAAATGTGATGGTTAAAATTCAATAATGTTAAAAATATATTTATTTAAAAAACACCCATTGTGCACAACATTTATTCATATATATCATAAACGAAGTTTAAAAAAAAAAGATTAATAAAAATACATAATTAAAAATATATACTTCCATCATTAAAACCGAATAAGTAATGTAGAAGTACTTTTTCAAAATACGAGTAGGTATAATACAGTCATTGACAATATTGTATGACTAGCGGTCCGTCTCGGCGTCGCACGGGTGCACATTTTTAACATTTCCCTTCACTGCTCTGCTCCTATTGATCTTAGCGTGATGAAAAGTATACTACAACCTGTCCAGGAGTATGAAGAATATTTGTACCAAGTTTCGTTAAAATCCGTCCAGTAGTTTTTGTTTCTATAACGAACATACAGACAGACAGACAAAAATTTTACTGATTGCATTTTTGGCATCAGTATCGATCACCAATCACCCCATGATAGTTATTTTGGAAATATATTTCATGTAAAGAATTGACCTCTCTACAGATTTATTTTAAATATAGATTTACTACCATTATTAAGCGTAAATTTCTCAATTTTTATAAAGGACAACACTGTTAATTCTTTCTCTTTCATACACAATATGCTATCTCATTCAGCTACCTCACGTAGTCAATACCATAGATAAATAACTAAACTCATTTTGATCAATCGATGTTAATATTTTTTTAACAATAGAATTTAATTCTGGATAGGTCTTATGTTAATTTTACCATGATTAATGTTGTCAAATAGCAATTATCGATTGAAAGGTATAACGTATCATTTACTTTTTATGAATATAAAAATAAAATAAGATAAAATTCCATTATAGTTTATTATGTATAAGATTATCTAATACTTAGTTATTATTTGAAAAAAACAATATTTTCAAAGTAATAAAGAAAAACAAAATAATTTGAAAATATTTTAAATGATTTCTCTGTTTTTCTGTGATGAATTCTTTTCAACCGACATAAAAAGAAGCAAGTTCTCAGTACGGTTGTATATATCTTTGTTTGTTAGTCAGCTTTTTTTTAATTATTTATATGATTAATTATTTAATTGAAATTCAACTAATTGATGATTTATTGCCAGGAATAATAGAATAATATTTGTTTATTTATTTTTATTTAATACTTTATTGTACATAGTAATTATACATAAAGATATAACGACGGTAATCAAATATACAAAGACGAGTTTAACTTTAAAAGAGTTACTTAAATCTTTTATTGTATTAATTGAAATGTATGAGGAAATAGAATATGGATAAATAAGTGACAGCTATTCTTAGAAATGGGCACAATTAATAACAATTATGCGAATGACCGATATGCGTTTCACGCAGTCGTAAATCCTTCACTACCAATTGTTTCCTAACATTAAATTCAGCGAGACAGGATTGTATATCTTATTAATTATTAGGTTTTTACGCGTGACTTTATTCGTGACCAGGATAGTGTTTATTTACAGGGATAGGTTTTTTTTTGATGGGTGAAAATGGTATGGCAACCCCGCCTGCGCTAACGGGATACGCTGGCGGAGCACCAGTGAAAGGTGATAGATGAGAATGAAAACAGGCCAGTTAGCCCATCATGACGAATTCATCAGGGATTAACCATGATAGTTTCCAGGGGTAACCGCGAGGAGGTCGAATTGGTTGGGTATATTGCTAGCAATGGGATTCTCAGTCTCCATCACTAACAATCTCTTTCCCCCCCTACAGGGATAGATAAGATTTAACCATATAATGTATGATGTAACCTTAGATTATATAGATAGAATGTCTCCATACAATTGCTTCGAGAAACGCGGGTCAACTTTTTCATACAATTTTGCGTGATAAATAGTTTAAGAGGTCGGTGGTTATGAAATAAAACTCGTGTCATTATAGGGGAATCCAACTCATGTATTAACAGTTCCACAACTTTGCAATTAAAATACATTTGTATTAAAGCGACTTACCAAATTATACGTCTTTACTGGTCAATGTTCAATCAACAACTGTCAACTGTCGGTCGTTACTTCTAGTTTTTACGTCGACTATTTTGGCGAGTAAATGTTTATTCCGGAAATGACAAATCACCATTTTGTAGTTAAATCAAATCAGCAACGGTGTCACTTGACAACAGTTATGATACAAATATAATAAAATATTGGTATACTAAATTTAAAGATGCTAACAATAGTTATCGAGTGTTTTCTTTGTAAGTTCTATATTTATTTTATTTTATATTTTTTTGCATATTTTTAATGTGTAAACGTTTATTTTGTTTATTAAATAATTAAATATAGATACGTCAAGACACATTATTTGCGTAAGTATAGCACATAATTTGTATTGACACTTAGTTGATCTGTTTTTGAGTGTCGATGCTCAATCTATATAATCCAAGGATATAACCTTCTTGTGCTTTCCTTCCTGATGCTGGTGATAATGGAATAGTAACCCTGTCCGCGTTATCGGTAATCACCGATGGGACACCAATGAGGGATGATAATTGAGAATTAACCAGAGGGAGACTTTGTACAAAAGTCGTTTGGGTACCTCTGTCCCATTCGTGTTTCAACCGTGAAGCAGTTGTGTTTGCATGGCTGTGTTTCGGTTTGAAGGGTGGGATATGGCGTGAATTTACAGGGTACAGAGGAATAACACCTGTGTCCTCAGGAATGGCAACACATGGGGGGTATCATGGGCGAAACAGTATACTCTGTCTATAGGCGACGGTTACCACTTTCCATCAGGTGGACCGTCAGATTGTTTGCCATTCTAAGTTGCATAAAAAAAAAACCAATAGCGCAGGCGGGGTTACCATTTGATTATCATCTCAAAAAAATTACCATACCTAAATATGTAGGTATTAACTAAAACGTGTTTTTAGGTGAAATCTCAATGCTTGAAGCGGATATAGTCCTAGGCCAGATCAATGGTAAAGAAGGCCCCCCTATCCCGGTGATGGCTCACCCCCCGGCCACAACCTCCGACCTGTCTCTCTCAGAGTTCCTCTCGTCCGTGGCGCAGTACAACAACGTGAACTCCAAGCAGAAAGGCGTGAAGCTCGACTTCAAGTCTATAGAGGCGTTTGAGAAGTCCCAGGATCAGATAGCACTTTACAGTAAGCCTGAGGTATGTATTTTATTTTGACGTGTGGTCCCGGCATAGAATAGGCCATCTCCTTCCTTTTTTTTGCGTGTCGTAAGAGGTGACTAAATGAACATAATGGTAGAGGTATAGGCAAAAGCGTCTTTCTTAAAACATCTCCTAAAATATTGCATAGCTGTGTTTCGATTTGAAGGGTGGGATATGGCGTGAATTTACAGGGTACAGAGGAATAACACCTGAGTCCTCAGGAATGGCAACGCATGGGGGTATCATGGGCGAAACAGTATACTCTGTTATATTCATGGTACTGCTCATATCTATAGGCGACGGTTACGATTTCCATCAGGTGGGCCGTCAGCTTGTTTGCCATTCTAAGTTGTATAAAAAAATCTCTCTAAAGGCTTAGCTACGATTTCTAACTGGCCTGCCAAGCGTGGCAACTACTGGGAAAACTCTCCTTATGGGGAAGGCTTATGTCCAGCAGTGGACAATTAACGGCTGAAATGATGGTGATGTATTTTATTTACCTCAATAAGGATATTTATTTTATACTATAATTATTTATATACTAGCTGTTCCCCGCGACTTCGTCCGCGTTTCTGTCGTTTTTCGTAAAAAAATAAATAGCCTATGTCCTTCCTCACGGTTCAGTGGTTTTGACGTAGCAGACACATTTCCCTTCGCTGCTCTGCTCCTATTGATCGTAGCGTGATGAAAAGTATACTATAGCCTGCCCAGGAGTATGAAGAATAATTGTGCCAAGTTTCGTTAAAATCCGTCGAGTAGTTTTTGTTATGGCAGTCTATGGAGGAGGCCTATGTCCAGCAGTGGACAGATAATGGCTGAAATGACGATGACTTGAAAATACCTTCAAATTAAGGTTTTTCTACTCTCTCTTTCAAATCGACTGAAAAAGAAAGAAATAACCTATTTTTAGTATCTAATTAAAGCGGTTCCCTTTCTAGTGGGCCCAATAACTCATACCAATAAGTTGATTCACAAATAATTGCTCTGCGCAGGCGCGTATGGTTAATTAAACTCGACATTACACTGTATACCCACGCCACCTCGTGTACACAGTTAACAAATCAAGCGATTATCAATCTTATTGTTCACTCGTTAAGAGTCACAGTACACAAAAGACGTCTCTTCCTGATTTCAAGTTCAAAGAATTGTGAACTTTATCGTCTTAAATTTAAGAGCGACGAATTTTAATTGAACAGGGAGATGTCTAAATTAAAATATGACATAGCGTGTGAATAATGGATTCTCAGTGTCTACTTGTGTGGTCGTGTCATCTCCCATAATAATGGGTCGGGACGTCAGATGTGCTCGTTAAAATACGCCTGGAACAAAATAAATAGGGTTCCGTATCTCGTAATGTGAAGGAAAAACGGAAAATGCGCGTAAACCGCGCGGTTCCTTCATAAACCGAGTTAAAAAAAAAAAACAGGAGATTTCCAATTCGACGGAATCTTTGATTTTTTTATGTGTTTCTTCGTTTACTCGAAATTTCTTAAATAGAAAATTTTGGCTGGAAGAGATCTCTTTCAGAGATAAGCCCATCTTTCACCCTAGCTGACGAGTTGATAAAATAATCGTTGTATCATATTTTTTTTATAAATGCAAAAAAAAATACATATATACACACACACCCACACGCACACGCATATATAGTATAGATCAATGTTTTCCAAGTTTTTTGTGCCATGCCCCACTTGAACATTTCTAAAATTTTTATGCCCCCATACATAATTTTTTCTGACAAAGTTTACTTGATGACTCTAATCGCCCAGTTGATATTTTGGTAACGTCAAACAAAATTATTCTTAATAAATAATTACAGCATTTTTTTTATTTACTTTTTTTGTTAAATTTGGCGATAGATAAATATAAGTATATATAATAATATAAATTAGTCGCTTGTGGGATGGGCACAGAGAATCGAGCGTTAAAAACTTACGTACGTCTCTCGCTTCCTTGATTTTAATAGCTCGATTACATGCATATACATTGGTTGCCAAATAAAAAACAATATATATTACATACTATTTAAAGAAAGGAATTTCTCTTGCAACAATTTATTGATTTGAAGCTGATCTCTAATTGGTACAAATTGAGAGCAATCGAAGCCAATGGTCTTACAATAAACGAAAGTGTCCGAGTATTGTTTCACGGTCAAAACATTCTCTGACGAATCGCTCTGGAGACGCGGCAGCTTAGCAGTCGTGAACATATGCACGTACCTTTCGTTTTTTTTATACAACTTAGAATGGGAAACAAGCTGCCGGCTCACCTGATGGAAAGTGGTAACCGTCGCCTATAGACATGAGCAGTACCCCCATGCGTTGCCATTCCTGAGGACTCAGACGTTATTCCTCTGTACCCTGTAAATTCACGCCATATCCCACCCTTTAAACTGAAACACAGCCATGCAAACACAACTGCTTCACGGTAGGAACACGAATGCGACAGAGGTACCCAAGCAATCGACTTTTGTACAAAGTCTCCCTCTGGTAAATTATGTCCATGGTATTGCTCATGTCTATAAGCGACGTCTACCACTTTCCATCAGGTGGGCCGTCAGCTTGTTTGTCATTCTAAGTTGTATAAAAAAATAATTTTGATAATCAAAGGGAAACTTTATATAAAAGTCGTCTGCTTGAGTACATTTGTCCTATTCGTGTTTCAACCGTGAAGCACACACAACTTGTGGCTGTGTTTCGGTTTGAATTTCATTGCTATAGTTCATTTTTGGTCATGGCAATTGTGGCTTTCTATATGGAAATAGATAGATACTCTTGTTTCCTCCAAAAGATTACAACAGTAAACTTATTATAAATATAAACAATTACAAGAAATAATCACAGTGAGAAAACAATGGGCGACCTTATCGCTAAAAGCGATCTCTTCCAGGCAACCAAATAAGTTTTCTCTAGATTTTCTTATGGGATGGTAACCCCTTCTGCACTATTGGTATACGCTGATGGGATATTAATGGTAGATTATAAGGGAGTATACAGTTAGATCAGCGTCGCCGAATTCATCGGGATTTCTTCACGGTGGCTTCCATTGAATCGTGTGAAAGACCTGTTAGAGTAGATTCCAGGAGGCTTCTGTGATTCTGGATGGAGCTTGGCTGGCTGTACAAGCTACGACTCATACGCACAACGGCCTAAATGAGAGGCTAAGCGCGAAAAAGAAAGATCAATTTACATTACATTAGAGTATATTGCTAGCAATGGGACTATTAGTCCTTATTACTGACAATCCTTCCCTCTAGAGACGGTTAGTCGCCGAGCACATGTGCACTTATTCAGCGCCTGCGCAGCTTCCGTGTAGCATCAACTATAAACAACTACGAATGGATATATTGGGCTTGTTATAGTTTATATCATAATATTTACTACATTATATTACATAGTAATAATTATAATTAATATGTTATCATGCTATCATCAGGAGGAAGGTCCTACCTTAAAAGGCCCAATATAGGCCCTAACATAAAATGAAAGACCCCAAGAAAATTAGACAGATTCGCTTTTTCGAAGTCACTCAGTTATGGTTTCTGGCCTACCCAATATTTTCTTTGCCCAACCTTAAACTTGGATCTATCTACGGCCCTGGGTGAGGGACCTATACCAATCGATAGAACGTTAATGTACTGATAATGTTAGTGCTAATATTTTATACACTTACGATAATCGACCGAAGCGCAAAGTGCAAACTTACAAGGTTCAGATGACATTGCCACATAACTTTTTAATCTCCAAGCGTAAACAGGTAAAACTGCATGAATCATTATTCATCTTTCCTTATATCTTTGGCCTCTAGAAGCCTGTTATATCCCATTCCTGTGGGAACTTCAGGGAACACTTTTATAACTGACTAGCTTCTTCCTCGCTGCTTCATACGCATAAATTTTAAAAGTAATAGGTCCCTGACACTACAGCAAAATGCTGAGCACGCACCTCATTTTGGAGGATTTGCGACGCACGCACATACACACACTCATTTTGGATGAAACTGTTCTATAATACGAATTGCTTTTTTTTCTCCTTTTTTAATTTTATATTCTTTATTTATATATATAAATATTTTATGTGTAGTTTCGTTATTATAATTCTTAATTTTTTTTAATCCCTGTGTGGGTGAAGTCGCATATTTCTGTAAAATAAAGTTTCTTTCTTTCTCTCAATAAAAAAGACAAGGTGTATTAAAATGAGATATATATACACCGGATTTTAAGACCTTCATCAATACGACTGTGAAAACTGCATCCAGTTTAGTGTAGTAATGTTTGCATAACCCAGACAGACAGACAGACCAAATATCTAAAAAACTGTTTCGTTGATATCCATTTGCTTTATTAAGAGCTCTCGTATATTTTTGTCTTAAATATCTCTTATGAGTTCGTCTCGTTGTCATTTTATTAGTATGATAAAATGTTTGTACCTGTTAAATGTAAATCAAGTAATTTTTGAAATTTCATATGGCAAACATAGGAAGGGTATCCATATAGTTTTCAACCGACTTTAAAAAGAAGAAGATTCTCTTTTCGATTGTTTTTTTTTTATGTTTATTACCTCATAACTTCGTCACTTGTAAACCGATTTGCAAAATTCTTTTATTTTGTTATCTAAAAACATATTCTTACAGATTGGTCGCATAAAAATTTTATGTTATCCCATTCGTGTTTCTACCGTGATGCAGTTGTGTTTGCATGGCTGTGTTTCGGTTTGAAGGGTGGGATATGGCGTGAATTTACTGGGTACAGAGGAATAACACCCGAGTCCTCAGGAATGGCAACACATGGGGGGTATCATGGGCGAAACAGTATACTCTGTTATGTCCATGATACTGCTCATGTCTATAGGCGACGGTTACCACTTTCCATCAGGTGGGCCGTCAGCTTGTTTGCCATTCTAAGTTGTATAAAAAAAGACAAGGTTGTGATAATCACCTAAATTTTTGGATAACTTTCTGCCGAAGCTCAAACAGGTTTTATTTTCATCGGACGGTAAGATCAACAATTAGCAACATTGCAATCTCTCGTGTAATGTGCAACGGAATGCGGTAAATTGCATATTGCATATCTTTGATTATAAGTCCTGGGTTTGTGGTTTATCCATCCTGCTACAATGTTTAACGCTTGCAGTTTTCTGTAATAAGGGTTCTGTAATCATTCATGCACGGGATACCTTCATTATCGTTTCTTGTAGTAGGTTTGTATTATATATAAAGATAGTTTGTCGTATAGGAAACATTAACCAGAGGAAGACTTTGTACAAAAGTCATTTGCTTGGGATCTCCCACCTCTGTCTTATTCGTGTTTCTACCGTGAAACAGTTGTGTTTGCATGGCTGTATTTCGGTTTGAAGGGTGGGATATGGTAGTGAATTTATAGGGTACAGAGGAATAGAATAGAATAGAATAGAATAGAAACATTTATTGCCAGTAAACTTACAATATAAAATATAAATGACATATACAAAAAGTGTCCCACACCCGGCAAAAGGAACCGGCTCAGCGGATGCTGTGAGTGTCCCAGCGCAATGTGAACAGCTGCACAGCGCTGGTTTTCAGCCAGTCCCTCTCTTACAAAACAACCAAAGTGCAGGGTACCACTGTACATTATAACTGGAATAACATCTGAGTCCTCAGGAATGACAACGCATGGGGGGTATCATGGGCGAAAAAGTATACTCTGTTATGTCCATGGCACTGCTCGTGTCTCTAGGCGACGGTTACCACTTTCCATCAGCTTGTTTGCCATTCTAAGTTACATAAAAAATCAATGTTTCAGTCAAGTACTTAGTGTTCGAGGATATTCCTTCTAATTAAAAAGTTTCTTTGTAGACTTTTAGATAGTTTTATAATTATTGTTATATATTTATTTCATTGTTAATTAAATATTTCATAGAACTTGTACGTCAAATGTAAAAATTCTGTCAAATTACTAATTCGCGTGTATGACTACGTAGAAAAAATATTTATTTCGCATTTTTACTTTACCATTTTTGAACCGATTTGAATTATATATATTTTTTTTTAATCAAAAGGCTCTTATAATGGCCTTATACCAATTTTATCAATATTGAAGTTGTTTTTTTTGTTATTGCTTTTTTTTTTTAAATACGCTTTATTTTTTGCAGAAGCATCATTTAATATTAAATATATTATTATCTTGCCTAATCGATTAAACATGAATGTTGAATACAGATCCACTTCCCCCTCTGGCTGAACGCAGACATCCTCGCAGGACCAGTAGAGGCCACAACGAAGCCAGTGGACCCGGTCAAGTTCCTGACGCTGGGCGCAAAGCACCCCCGCTCCGTGCTGTCCATAGGCTGGACTACCAATTACGGGGGTAACATCACCGAGGGTGAATACAGCAGGGAGCAAATTGGAGCAATGTTGAGACTCATACACGAGAACCACATAAATCAGACTGTCACTTTCCCTGTAAGTTTTCTTTCTCAATCATCATTATTGTAGTGATACGCAAGCGAGTTGGTTAAACACTAATTTATTCATTGAAAGAATAAATAGAACAAATTATTACCGGCCAGTATTTACAAATTATTAGTGGCCAGTACGTGAACATAATATACTACATCTCTTTTCCTTCGAAAGAAAAAAAAAAAATAATAATAAAGTAACAAGTTATACAAATAAAGAAAAAAAAATATATTACTTTTTTTTTAAAGAACAACAAATATTTCGATATCTATGTATAGTATATCGTAAGTTTATAACATGACGCTTAGTTATTAACATAAAAGAAACTTAACATCATCAAACATAATAACTAAAAATAAAAATAAAAACACTCCAGATTAATAATAATCATAAAAGAAAATATTAAACTAAGCCTACTATTTTATTCTTTATATTGTTTAACAAATAAGTCTGTCAGCATTCGCGCTGTTCTTTCCTTTGACCTTGTTATAGGAACTAAGGGCGGCGAAAGTGATTTATCACTTAGTAGTTTATTTTCACTGTGTGAAGAAGCTGATTGGTGGACATCTGTCGTAACAGTACTAGATGTGGCAATTTCTTTCGAGCTTTGAGGCAACGAAGACATATCGTGAGGAATTTGCCTACGTTTACGTGCACGTTTAATTGAAATCGCTTCTTGTGAAGTGCCGCATTCGAGAAACGCTGCTGGTCGACTTTGAAACAAATGAGCTGCTTTACGAGTTCCTGTAGTACGTGCGACCAATTGACTGCGATTGCGCCTATAACGACTTCCATGTTCATCTTCCACAATATATGATCGGGGTTGACGGGTACGCTCTACAATTGAAACTTGTTTTCTACAACGATTATCAATAAGAGTCGCTTTATCACCTGGAAAGAGAAGTTTCAACGGCCTCGTCGACAGATCATAATGCTTTTTAATTTTTTTCCTGTTTGCCATTAACGCTGAATAATTCCGTTCATTATTCACTTTCTCAGACAGTAACTTTTCAGTAATCGGTAATTTCGTATTTATTCGCCGACCCATTAAAATTTGTGCAGGAGAGTCTAAATTATTCCGTGGTGTAGCCCTAAAATTTAAAAGTGCCATGTAAAAATTTTGGCCCGAGTCCACACATTTCTTTAATATATTTTTTATCGTCTGGACGGTCCTCTCACTCTTTCCGTTAGACTGTGGGTAAAGCGGAGACGACGTCACATGTTCTACTTCCCATTCACGCATAAACCTCCTAAATTCAATCGAGCTGTAAGCTGGACCATTGTCAGTAACTAATTCAGTGGGAATACCGTGACGTGAAAATTGTTCCTTCATAAAATTAATCACGTTTTTAGAGCTCAGACTTTGTAATATTCCAACTTCTACAAAATTAGAAAAATAGTCAACTAAAATAATGTATTTTTTCCTTTTGTATTCAAAAATATCGGAAGCTAACTTCCGCCAAGGCAATGCCGGAACAGTATGCTGCAGCAGCGGCTGGCGCCGAGGACGAGGCGCGTGCAGCGCGCACGCCGCGCAGCCCCGCACCGCGCGCTCCACGTCCTCGCTCATGCCCGGCCAGAACATCACCTCGCGAGCACGCCGCTTACACCTCTCTATGCCTAAATGTCCCTCGTGCACTCGCGATACCATATTGTCTCTTAAAGCGCGCGGAATAAATATACAGTCACCCTTGAAAATCATATAATCCATACAATGAAGTTGTTCGCGATAAGGCCAAAAACCAATTACATTCTCATGGACGTCACGTCTATTCTTAGGCCAACCGTTAGTAATATAATTCATCAGTCGTCTGCAGTCATTATCAATCTTCGTTTCAGCCCTAATAATCTTCATTTTTTCTTCGCTGAAAGGTACATGTTGTAACACGAAACATGTTTGAATTTCAATTTCGTCAGTAACACGATCATGCATTAGATCTTTTAAAGGTGCCCGCGACAGTGTATCGGCTATATACATATACTTTCCCGGTGTATATACTACCTTAAAATCATAGCCTTGAACTCTCATCATCATCCTCTGCAAGCGCGCCGGAACAGAAACCAATGGTTTATTAAATAAAGTTTCTAACGGCTTGTGATCCGTATGAACGGTGACATCTGATCTACCGTAGATATACTGCCTGAAACGTTCGGCTGCAAACACGATAGCTAGCATTTCCTTTTCTATCTGCGCATACCTGGTCTGAGTGTCGGTTAAAGTGAGCGATGCAAATTCTACTGGACGACCATCTTGCAGTAGCACAGCGCCCAATGCTACACTGGACGCATCAACCGACACTACTACGGGGGTGCGCTCACAGTACAACGCCAACACTGGCGCACTCGCTAGCTTTGCTTTCAGTTTATCCACAGCCTCAGTGTGCTGAGCCTCCCACAACCACTCGGAATCCTTTTTAAGTAATAACCTTAACACATTTACACATTCCGAATAATTTTGAATAAATTTTGCTAAATAATTTATCATTCCTAAGAATCGCTCTAGTGCCTTTTTATCATTAGGATAAGGCATCTCCATTATTGCTTTAACTTTTGCGGAATCTGCTCGCATACCGTTTGCATCAAACTTATGTCCTAAATATGTAATTTCAGACACTCCAAATTGACATTTTTGACGATTAAATTTTATACCAACATTCCTGGCACGTAGCAAAAGACATTTAAGCCTACAATCGTGTTCCTCTTTATTGCGGCCCCATACAATAACATCATCAATGAAAGACTCGACTCCCTCTAAATCTTCTAGATGTTGCCTAATCTTAGCGTGAAACACCTCGGGTGCACAGTTAATGCCGTAGGGTAAACGTAAAAACTGGTACCGTCCAAACGGCGTGCCAAACGTACAAAGGTCAGCACTGGCCTCATCAATTTCCACCATCCAGAAACCACACCGTGCATCTAAAACACTGAACATCTGAGCACCACGTAATCGCGCTGCCAACTCGGGCACCGTCGGCAAAGTATAATGCGCACGCCGGACTGCGCGGTTAAGAGGTCGAGGATCCAAGCAAACACGAATGCTGTCATCTTTTTTTGCTACGGGAACGATTGCATTAACCCATTCAGTAGGGTATGTCACCTTTCTGATTACACCTAACCCTTCCATTCTATGTAATTCCTGACGTAATTTGTCCTTAAGTCCCAAAGGAATTTTTCTAGTAGGACAGACAACGGGCTGTCTGGTTTTATCTACTATAATACTATATTTCCCTGGTAATTTACCTAAACCTTGAAATAAATCAGAATATTGCTCAATATTTAATGCACTTATTTGATTGACTAAACCTAAAACAATTGAGCTTTCCAACCCGAGTACATTCTGACAGTTAATATCAGAAATAACAAATGGTAAATTAAAATATTTATTATTATATTGAAAAGTAATTATATCACAGCCTAAAATTGGCAATTGATTACCCGTAAAGGAATGTACTCGTTTTGTGAACGGTTTAAGATTCATAATAGAGAAACCCAAATACAAATATATTTTTTTAGAAATAACATTGATCATAGAACCCGTATCTATTTTTAAAATAATTTTTTTACCATTACACTCCATTACCTCTGTCCATTCCAAAGACGACTTACTCAGTTTTCTGCCCTCCTCAATAGTATCCACAAAAACCATTTCCTCGTCACTATTGTCACTCGCCGATTCTACACTGAGATTTAATACTTTGCGCATCGCTTTCTTTTGTACACACACTCGAATGTCCTTTTTTATCACATACATAACACGATGCATACAGCGCGGCGCAGTGCTCGCCGCCGGGGCACCGGCCGCCGCACGCGGGGCACACGCCGCGCGCCTCCCGCTGCTGCTCCTGCTGCTGGTAGCTCGCTGCGCCGCGGCCACGGCCGCCGCCACGCTGTCGCCTTCCGTTCGACCGGAACGAACCCCGTGCGGGTCGAGCGCCTCGGACGACACTCTTATCGTGAACCGCGTTCACTTGAACAACTTCCGGTGTCCTGTCTATACATAAACTTTCTTCTTTAGACATCTCTGCCGCCTGACATATATGTATCGCCTTGTTTAAAGTCAAGTCGTCCGTACGAAGAAGCCTGTCTCTTACAGTGTTGTCGATGATACCACATACAACTCTATCTCGTAACAAACTCTCTTGTAATTCATTAAATTCACATTGTTGACTCAATACTCGTAAGGTGGTCACATATAGATCAATATTTTCGCCGTCTTCTTGGTTGCGTGTAAAAAATTTAAATCTTCTTACCGTAATATTTGGCTTCGTGGCAAAATAAGTATCAAATTTTTTAACAAACAATTGATATCATCATTCGTCTCGCCATCGTCAAAAGTGAAAGTTGTATAGACCTCGTATCCGGCCGGTCCTATGAGGTTAACCAACAAACTTGCCTGAACTTCCTTAGGTTCCTTACTAACTCCAGAAGCCTTCAGAAAAATCTCGAACATTTTCCGCCATTTTCGCCACGCTTCCGAGCGTGCAGCCGGACCACCATCAAGCGACAATTCCGCTGGAGGACGCGCGTGCTCCATATTTACGAATATAATTTACAATAAATTATATCAATTTTAAAAAAATATTTGATATTTATGATAAAATATGAATTTTAAAACTATAAAATGAACGCACCGCTGTCACCATGTAGTGATACGCAAGCGAGTTGGTTAAACACTAATTTATTCATTGAAAGAATAAATAGAACAAATTATTACGGGCCAGTATTTACAAATTATTAGTGGCCAGTACGTGAACATAATATACTACAATTATCATTGTAATTTTTTTTTGCAACACAGGGGGCAAACGAGCATGCGGCTCACCTGATGGTAAGTGACTACCTCCGCCTATGATCACCCGCAACACCAACGGTATTGCAGGTGCGCTGCCAGCCTTTTAAAAAGGAATATGCTCTTTTCTTAAAGGTTATGATGTTGTATCGGTTCGGAAATACTGCTGCTGGAAGTTGATTCCAAAGAGTGGTTGTGCGTGGTAGCTTGTTTGCCATTCTAAGTTGTATAAAAAAAAAATTCACGTATGTTATGTACCTATAAATGAAAATATTCCATAGGTCCGTGCGGGCCTCGCGTCCAACAGCCAGCCAGTTGTACTGGACCTTCTCCGAGAGACGTCTTCCCTCAATTCCTCGATAACAGTGTGGTCCAGCGAGGGTGACGCTGTGGAGGTAGACCGGCTGAAGGCCCTGATCCTCACGGTTGGACTTGAGAGGACGTACCTGGACGTACCACACGAATTGGCAGCTAAACTACATCTCCCGCCTGCCGCGAATGTTAAGAATTAAAATGTAAATTTGTATACATGGAAGTCGTGTTTTATTTTCAACCAACTTTAAAAAGAAGGAGGTTTTGAAATCGGTTGTATTTTTTTTATATGTTAATTACCCCATAACTCCGTCAGTTGTAAACCGGTTTGGAAAATTCTTTTTTTTTATCTGAAAATATATACTTACAGATTAGTTTCATAAAAAAATTAATCGAAATTGGTTTAGTAGTTTAGTTTTTTAGTTCAAAATAACTGGTCGACTTGCCAACACGCTTGCCAAGCGTGGTAACTATTGGCACCTCCTCCTCCTTCCCACATTGTTTTTTTTTAATGGGTGATAATGGAATGGTAACCCCACCTGCGCTATCGGTATACACTGGCGGGGCACCAATGAGGGATGATTGGTGAGAATGACAAGGCAGGTCAGTTAGCCCATCCGGACGAATTCAACTAGAATTAGCCATGATGGTTTCCACATTTCAAGAAGTATATAATTGGTATATCGCACAGAGTTTCGTCAGACAACAGTAGATCTAGGCTCTAGTCAAGTCGGCCACCCCTGGTATACAGTACCTACTATCTCTTATCTTAATTTGCTTGCAATGCAAACTGAAGTGTGAATTGTGTGGCATTTAACAAATATGCAATAGTTGACAAGTCGTATTATCAGACTGTGTGTCTAGAGAAGCGACAGGCAAAGTGCGGCCCGCGGGCCAACTGCGGCCCGTGGGGGAAAGGGATTGTTGGCAATGGAATTTGACAGCCCCATTGCTAGCAATATTAGGTTAATATTAATAGCCCTATTAGGTCGACTTCCACTTGGTTCCCCCTGGAAACCATCGTGGTTAATTCTAGCGGAATTCGTCACGATGGGCTAACTGACCTGCTTTCATTGTCACCTATCATCCCTCACTGGTGACCCGCCGGTGTATACCGATAGCGCGAGTGGGGTTACCATTCCATTATCACCCATTAAAAAAAAATTATGAATAGGGGGAAGGGGTTGTTGGTAATGGGATCTTACTGATCTATTGCTACCAATACACCCAGTCAGGTCGACCTCCACGCGGTTCTCCCTGGAAACCATCGTGGTTAATTCTAGCGGAATTCGTCACGATGGGCTAACTGACCTGCTTTCATTGTCACCTATCATCCTTCACTGGTGCCCCGCCGATGTATACCGATAGCGCTGGTGGGGTTACCATTCCATTATCATCCATTAAAAAAAATATTACGACTTTGAAAATGAATATGTTTGTTTTCCTTTCTGTTACCTCTTAAAACATTAATTTCCAAATTTGCTATACACATACTGTTTGGGAAGGACATAAGTTACTTTGTAACCTGATCAGATAAATGAATATTTCTGGTCACGCGGATAAAGTCAAGAGTAAAAACTAGTATGCAGTGAAGCATTACACAAAGCCCAAGAGAGCAATCGCAAAATTTCCTATACGTCTAAGCACGTTCACGCTACACCCAATTTTAATGGAATACCTACCTTAATGTAATACATTAGGGTTGTTAATTGTTTCTGATGGTTACGCACGAAGGGTGTCGACCTCTGAACATGTGGGTACCACGTGGCAAGAGTCATTCATTGCCATTCATCAATTGCTGCCTTTTAGATAGCTTGGACCCGGCGTGGGCTCGTGATAAACTAAAACTTGGTAGTACGGCCACGAAAAATGGCCACGAAACAAAACAAAGAGATAAACTTTCACAATACAACACAATATTTATTTAATTATGCATGTTTCGGTTTGAAGGGTGGGATATGGCAGTGAATTTACAGGGTACAGAGGAATAACACCTGAGTCCTTAGGAATGGCAACGCATGGGGGGTATCATGGGCGAACATGCTCTGTTATGTCTATGCTCATGTCTATAGCCGACGGTTACCACTTTCCATCAGGTGGACCGTCAACTTGTTTGCCATTCTAAGTTGCATAAAAAAGAAATACAAATTGTTTATTTTTAAATCAATGCACCGCCATTTGCTCTCTCTGTCTATCGTAACGGTTGATTGGTAGAGAATGCCATCAGGCATTAAGTCTGCCCTGTAGACATATTTTAATGTATGCAAAAATAAAAATAAATAGATATTAGATAGTAAATGATATTGTAGTAATGTGGCGGCGAGTTAAAAACCTTTTTTGTAACATTAAATGCAATTATCTATTTATTTAAATATTTTATTCTTTTTACTTTTTATTACAACTATGTTTCTGAGTCGCAGCGCAGCAGAGAGAGAGACCATAGAGTTTTTTTTTTTCATTTATTGTGACTTTGGCGAAAGCCAACAGCCAAAAAGTAACAATTACAAGGTAACAATAGACCATAGAGTACATTACAAAGCATAGCCTAATATCCACAGATTATTACATTTGTTTCACAGATAATATATTAGGTACATAACAGTAAAGAGAGAGACCAGAGGGAGACTTTGTACAAAAGCCGATTGCTTGGGTACCTCTGTCCCATTCGTGTTTCTACCGTGAAGCAGTTGTGTTTGCATGGCTGTGTTTCGGTTTGAAGGGTGGGATATGGCGTGAATTTACAGGGTACAGAGGAATAACATCTGAGTCCTCAGGAATGGCAACGCAAGGGGGGTATCATGGGTGAAACAGTATACTTTGTTATGTACATGGTACTGCTCATGTCTATAGGCGACGGTTACCACTTTCCATCAGATGGACCGTCAGCTTGTTTGCCATTCTATGTTGTATAAAAATAAAAATTAACAGTAAAGACCAACCAACTAACCCTTTGACCTGTTTCGGAACAAGCGTCCGGCCATTTCTTACTAAGAATCGCAAAAATTCGCAAAAAAATTGCTCGACCCAACTCATAAATAACTACGTCTACTGTAGAAATGCATTCTTAGAATGCAACATTGTTGGGCCGCCGTTTAATTCTGTAATACTCAGAATTAAAACAACGATGTTAGTGTAAAATAGTTTCTTATGTAAGCGCGCGTTCAAGTGGAGAAATACGTACCAAATGGTAAAACTATTGTATTTTCAGATATTCAGCAGATGTTATTTTTTATTCATACAAAGTACGCTACAAAAGGAATAATAACATTTCCGAAACAATACGACAACATAACCTTCAAGAAGAGAGTATATTCCTTTTTAGAAGACCGGCAGCACATCTGCAATGCTGTTGGTGTTATGGGTGATCATGGGCGGCGGTAGTCACTTACCATCACGTGAGCCGCATGCTCGTTTGCCCCCTGCGTTGTAAAAAAAAATATTATTATGGTATAATATTAATAATTATAAACATATAATAACATTACATATATATATTTAGCAGAGACTTTGTACAAAACTCGTTTGCTTGGGCACTTCTATCGCATTCGTGTTATAGCGTGAAGCAGTTGTGTTTGCATGGCTGTGTTTCGGTTTGAAGGGTGGGATATGGCGTGAGTTTACAGGGTACAGAGGAATAACACCTGAGTCCTCAGGAATAGCAACGCATGGGGGGTATGGGGGCCAAAGCAAGAGTAGCTGTTTGAATGCAAAATTGCAAACGACTTTTGTACAAATTGATGAGTTGCATTAATAAAAACCAAAAACTATAGATTACTCGTAATTGTGTTAACCTTAACACAAAGATCATATCTAACGCCTCCCCTTGAGAAGTTTATTTTATACAATAAACCAAGATTAAAGCTGTTAAAAGCTATTAACGTATACAGGCTGTATTTAATAGATGACATATTAACGATACACGGCCTCTGACCCTTAAGCATGGTTATGAATATAAACTATGCATACAAACATTTCCTGTCATAAATTACGTAATGTGCAAATGCTGAAAGCGGCTTCTGCATTGAATATTTTAACTTTTGACCCTATACAGCTGTTATGATAAAACGTACTTTTCGACTTAAATGCTAAAGATTTAAATTTTGAAATATAACTTCCGTCTGATGTTGTTTTAATCCAATAAGAAACTTGACATATTAAAAATCGACTATTTATATGAGATCTCGATGAAGTTTGGGAGACATATATTCTTATTGTTTTGTAAACTAGAGAAAAACTTTATACCGAAGTCGTTTGCTTGGGTACCTCTGTCTCAATCGTGTTTCTACCGTAAAGCAGTTGTGTTTGCATGGCTTTGTTTCGGTTTGAAGGGTGAGATATGACAGTGAATTTACAGGCTACAGAGGAATAACACCTTAGTCCTCAGAAATAGCAAAGCATGGGGGGTATCATTGTGGAAACATTATACTCTGTTATGTCCATGGCATTGATCATATCTATGAGCGACGGTTACCACTTTTCATCAGGTGTGCCGTCAGTTTACTTGCCATTCTAAGTTGCATAAAAAATGTATCTTCTGCAGCCGGCAATGAAGAACTGAAATGTTAATGAAATCTTGTCATTATTTTGTAATAAAATATTCTGAAGTCTCACATACAGTGTACACTCTTTTATTACAGAGAAGATTTGTCATTTTTCTCGACACTAATTCATAGTTATTATCATAAATAATTTTTGCTTTCTATTTATCTGTTACTTTATACCGATACCTATAAAGAGAGCGAAACTATTGTCATAGTAGAATTTTGATAAAATCTTTGGTTATTTTAACATTAAATTGAGAGGCAAAAGTTAGACATTTCAGCAAGTTACCTGTATGTTCCATTTGTCTGCTAGATAGACTGTCATATCTGTCTGTTTACTGTATGGATAATCTGGTAGTATTGTTTTATTGTTAGCCTATTCCCTTTGGCCGCAACAGAATATCAGTGCTTTGCTCTTTTGAGGGCGAAGCAATAAACTGAGTTGTGGCCGTTTTGTATTGCTATGGCACACTCACAAACGAAAATTGTATTTAGCTTTATGTATTTTTTTTTATCATTTATGTTATCTCGCTTTTTTTTGTATATGTATGTTGTAATTTCTGTGCTGTAAGTAATGCAAATAAATTATATATCTATCTATCTAAATTCTGCCCTTCTAGACAAGTAGCCAAGGAGTCCATCGATGGGATAGTTATCACTAGCGAGTCTATGAGTTGAAAGC